ACAGGATTGCAGAATTAGACATCCCCAGTTATTAATTTCATATACTCACCGGATCTGAATGTCCTGTTATAAAACTTCACATCGCGTTCCCCCCTGATGTCATTTACGTTGAGTTGCAATAAATGCTAAACTGTCTGCAGGTTCTTGTCTTTGTCGTCCGCTCTATTCAGCTGGCTTTGAAAAACACACGGCGAGAAGATGGGGGCCGGGTGGTGAGGGTTACGGGGGTGAGAAACGCAAAAGTAACGCAATAGTTACTTTTACTAGTAACTAGTTACTTTTATTGTGGAGTAACTCAGTTAGTAACTCAGTTACTTTTTGGGAGAAGTAACTAGTAACTATAACTAATTACTTTTTCAAAGTAACGTGCCCAACACTGGTCCTACACAGGCTAGTATTTCATTAGTCTGTGTAGGATTGTAAACAAGCCTAACTTGCAAGAGTCGCATTCAAATATACAGGTGCTGGTCATAAAATTAGAATATCATGAAAAAGTAGATTGATTTCAGTAATTCCATTTAAAAAGTGAAACTTGTATATTATATTCATACATTACATACAAACTCATATATTTCAGATGTTTATTTTGTTTAATTTTGATGATTACAAATGACAACAAATGAAAATCTCAAATTCATCATATCAGAAAATTAGAATATTACTGAAGACCAATAAAAACAAAGGATTTATAGAAATGTTGGCCAACTGAAAAGTATGAACATGAAAAGTATGAGCATGTACAGCACTCAGTATTTAGTTGGGCCTCCTTTGGCCTGTATTAGTGCAGCAATGCGGCGTGGCATGGAGTCGATCAGTCTGTGGCACTGCTCAGGTGTTATGATAGCCCAGGTTGCTCTAATAGTGGCTTTTAGCTCTTCTGAATTGTTGGGTCTGGTGTATTGCATCTTCTTCTTCACAATACCCCATAGATTTTCTATGGGGTTAAGGTCAGGAGAGTTTGCTGGCCAATTAAGAACAGAGATACCATGGTCCTTCAACCAGGTACTGGTAGCTTTGGCACTGTGTGCAGGTGCCAAGTCCTGTTGGAAAATGAAATCTGCATCTCCAAAAAGTTGGTCAGCTGCAGGAAGCATGAAGTGCTCTAAAACTTCCTGGTATGTGGCTGCGTTGACCCTGGACCTCAGAAAACACAATGGACCAACACCAGCAGATGACATGGCACCCCAAACCATCACTGACTGTGGAAACTTTACACTGGACTTCAAGCAACGTGGATGAAGTGCCTCTCTTCTTTTCCTCCAGACTCTGGGACCTTGATTTCCAAAGGAAATGCAAAATTTACTTTCATCAGAGAACATGACTTTGGACCACTCACCAGCAGTCCAGTCCTGTTTCTCTTTAGACGCTTCTGACGCTGTCTGTGGTTCAAGAGTGGCTTGACACAAGGAATGCGAAAGCAGAAACCCATGTCTTTCATACGTCTGTGTGTGGTGGTTCTTGAAGCACTCACTCCAGCTGCAGTCCACTCTTTGTGAATCTCCCCCACATTTTTGAAGGGGTTTTGTTTCACAATCCTCTCCAGGGTGCGGTTATCTCTCTTGCTTGTACACTTTTTTCGACCACATCTTTTCCTTCCCTTCGCCTCTCTATTAATGTGCTTGGACACTGAGCTCTGTGAACAGCCAGTCTCTTTAGCGATGACCTTTTGTGTCTTGCCCTCCTTGTGCAAGGTGTCGATGGTCGTCTTTTGGACAACTGTCAAGTCAGCAGTCTTCCCCATGATTGTGTAGCCTATAGAACTAGACTGAAAGACCATTTAAAGGCTTTTGCAGGTGGTTTGAGTTAATTAGCTGATTAGAGTGTGGCACCAGGGGCCATCAATTTTGAACCTTTTCACAATATTCTAATTTTCTGATATGATGAATTTGAAATTTTCATTTGTTGTCATTTGTAATCATCAAAATTAAACAAAATAAACATCTGAAATATATGAGTTTGTATGTAATGTATGAATATAATATACAAGTTTCACTTTTTAAATGGAATTACTGAAATCAATCTACTTTTTCATGATATTCTAATTTTATGACCAGCACCTGTAATGGCGATCTCTCTAATCACTAGTTTGTCAGCTCTGAGCTTGCCTGGCACAAAAGATGTCTGCCTCCACAAATGCAATGTAATTATAAAGAGCAAACTTTGAGACTTTCAGTTAATAGGTCATAATAAATAATACACATAGATAATATATTGCATTTATGTCAGTAAACGTGTTTTTTATGTTAAAGCAATCCATTACAGACGTTTTTCTTTTCTCAAAAGCGAGAACAACTCCGACTAAGCTGGAGCAAAAACTGAAACAAAATAAAGAGTTTGATAATAAATAAAACAAAATTTTTAAAGTAGCTGTAAGTAATCTAGGTGTGCATTGAAATCATATTTTCAATATTTTTTATGAATTGTAGTTAGTTTGTAAAATGCTTTCAGGTTTTGGAGAAAAATTCATATAAAATCACAGTCTTTCAATTTTTTTGTTATCAGATATGTGTGTTTAGAGCACACAGAGGCCTTTGGAGCCATGCCATCCTGAAAAAAAAAAAAAAACAGGAACACCTTTACCATACAGAGAGGCTAATAGTGTATGGAAATACAGCACTGTCTATCATTATAAAAAGAAAACTAAAAGATTTGGAATTTAGATAGAAATGAATACATAGAGTGTTTGTCAGGGCACTGCCTGCAGGTTCAGTTTGTTAGTAAGGAGTTTCCAGAGAAAGAAAAGTAGCGCTTCAGTTTTTCCCGTTCATATTCAGATTTTTTATTTGGCTTACAGAAAACGCATCAAAATATAAACAGGATCATAAGTAATGATGGAAATGTGTTCCATCAGTTAAAATAACTTTGCTGATATTTGTCAGTTTTGTAAATAATAATAATATTAATTTAAACAATATCATTTATCCCCTTTAAGTAGTTGTAACAGCAATATTCTTTCTCACCATCTTTGCCAAATGAATAAAAAATATATTTTATTATTTGCTTTCCTCAACATAAAACTGACAACTATATAACTGTAGTACAAGTGAACCCCCTTAAAGCTATATATACACAACTACCATCCAGGATTTTACAAGTTTCCTGTGGCATTTCAACAATTTATCTTTGACTATGAACTCCATATCTCAGAGGCTCTTTAGCTCCAGTGACTCAACTCGATTCAAAAAACATTAAGGCTTTCTCCTTCTCTCTTAACAAACTTCCATTTAAATATTTGTCTCTTGAACTTAGATTGGAGTTTTAGAAGTTACCTTTACTTAAGTCCTGAGTGGCCAGCTTAATGTGTGTTGATGCTGGAGTTTGTTGGTTTTTTTGTTGTTGCTTTGAATCCAAGCAAAAGTAAGATCCTCTTGAAAGTTTCACTAGTTATCAATCATTTGTTTAGTACCAAAGAAAAATAATTTAAAGTTTTAAATCGGGATTTCACGCTAAATGACACACCGATTTAAAACAGTAGCAACATATAGACATCAGTTTTTCTCAGTACAATAAAGGAAGAAGGAAAATTTCAATCCAAAAGCAGGACATTTTAATCATTAAACCAGTCATAGTTATAACATTACAGACATTAAAACATTCCTCTGTACTGTGGTTGCCCACATTACAAGAATAACCATAGTCACGACCATAGTCACAACCACAAGATCTAAACACTGTTAAAAACTTAAAAAACATGACCCTGTGAAATCCCGCCGAGTGCCGTGACACCTTTGAATACTTTCCAAGCAATGCCTGCTTTTTCCAGTGGAATGATGTTTCACACGCACATACCTGCTGTAACATGAGAAAACACACTGGCAGGGTGGGGTTAATGAAATAATTACTAATAAACACTGCATTATACCATGTTATACAGCCTGTTTGAACTTTCAGCTGTCACGTTGCTGCTGTTAGCATCTCTATAATACAACTACGATTGCACAGTTTTTTGTCTTTAGTCTGATTGCACATTCTTCCCCACATCTATAGAAAATAAAAAATATTAACATCTCCTGTACATAAAATCTGGAACTGTGTGAAAAGAGAAGCTTGTACCACAAACAAAATGAACATAAGTGATCTTTTCTTTACAGACAAATCAATAATTTAAAAGCAAATTTGAATCAAGGAGTAAATTACACAGGGTTAAAGTATTTTTCATATACCACAGGTGTAATTTAAACAATTTATTTGAATATATATTTTTATTTCTTTTGTAATATATATATTTTTTTAAGACACTACACCATCCTGTCCAGAACGGGTCTGAAAATGAACAGTTAATACTTATTTAATGGGAAAACATTATGCAAGTAACATCTCTCTAGAAACCGATGAAGTTTAAAAAAAAACAACAAAGGAGAAGAAAAACAGGCAGGATTCCCATAAACCCTGTAAAAAACAATCAACTAAAAGTGAATAATTCAATATTCCTCGATTATTCATCATATATTGTCTAATAATCTAAATTGCAAGGTTCACAAACGGCACTACATGCTGAATGTGGTAAAGACTACCAGCAATAAATGGATTTTTATAATAGCTTGTTATGCTTATATTTTATCACCTTGTTTAAGGAGCTATGAAGATGCATTTGGTTTATATGAATATCTCTAAATGTCAACAGTATTTATCAGATGGTGTCTGATAGGTCGGTTGTTCTTCAGGGAAAATTAAACCAATTATATTAAAAAATACATATATTGAATGTTGGCATGCAAATAGCTTTGCAGGACATGATTGAAATGTCTAGCTCTTTGTCAAAAATTATTTTAACTTAGAACAGACAGCAAGTTAAGTTTTTTAAGACCACTGAGAACATATGGGCTTATAGCCAATGATTGTTCCAGTCTGAGAAATAAATTCTCCAATATGCTTTAAGAACTCCTTAAAATCTGTCATAGGACATATTTTGTATTCTTATTCTTTAATTTCAACAAAAATAATGTAAAAAAAAAAAAAAAATAATGTAAAAAAAAAAAAAAAAAAAAAAAAAAAAAAAAAACTCCTGGGTGAACAGCTTGGTAAAATTGACGTTGGATAGAATGGAACTTGTCATTTATTTATGCCACATAAAGGTTTTATTAGGTGAATGTGGCTTGATTCATTGCACTTTGAATCTGCCAAAATGAGCCGCTGATGAAAAATATGAGTGAGATAGGGAGAGAGAAAGAGAGAGAGATACATTGGAAAATGTGCTGAGAAAAAAAAAAAAAAAGAGGATATCAAATCTTAAACGGCATCTGGAAAAGTTTTACTGCAATTCCTCTGACTTCTTGCTCCCCTTAAATTTTTAGGAATTGTCATAAATCCATATTTTCCTAACCTGAACCATTTTAATTCAAACTAAAGGTTTTATGGCTGCATTATATCATAAACATTCATTAAACCGTATTTAAGCAAACACATAAGCAAAGAGTCCAAGATAGAAAACACTTTATCGTGATACATATGGATCTTCAAACCCTCTGCTAAGCAAACATAAGAGACCAGAAGAAAAGTTAAAGTTCAACAAAGAAATCAGAGTTTCTCTAAATATTCCTTTGTATGATAAATCTGATTGGAAATAATGCAATAGATCTAAAACAGCCACTGATAATGTCTGAAGAACTGTGCAATGTGCTTCCTGTAAAAGAAACCTACAACACAAGATTCTCTTATGTCTTCAGATACGTCCTCTCCATGCTGCTTATCAATTAATGAAATGTTAACATTCAAATCTATACAAGCTCCCTATGCCCCCTTTAATGATAGCGCTAACATAGACTATACAAAAGCAAAGTCTTCTGTATGTAAACGAACCATTTAAACAAAACAACTGAGCCTCTCAGCCATTCAGGAATAAAACCTTACAGCCGCATGCAGCTAGAGCCTAGAAATGACTGAGCATAACCCACACATGCATGTTTTGCAGTTATAAACAAACCTGTTTCGGTCATTTCCATGGCCAAAACAAACAAACAGAAAATCCTTTCCATTCCTGAGGGCTCGGTACACGTTGAGGTTGAAGTTGCAGGAGTTTCATTCATTTGAGATCTCCTCTGTCTGCTTGTTGCTATGTAACTAATAAACAGACAAACATCAGCAAGCTTGGTAATTCATCTTAATTGCTTCTTGCGTAACAAGCAGTCCTCGCACTACAAATTAGCCCCGTAGCAACGATCACTGCACCGTTCCGCTTAGTGACACCATGTGTTGGGCGCCTGCCACAGCCAGTTGAGAAGCAGCACATGACGTCTTATCACTAGAGCAGCCACTGAGACACCTACAGCTACCCAAAACAGCTGCAGAGACATGACACAAAAACTGAGCTTCAGAGCTATCAGATGAAGAAACTGATATTTAGGTCCCGCTTTGACCCCCTGCAGCTTCAAAATAAGACATTGCTACATTTACAAAGTGCTCATAATGCTTCTTCACCGACGTGCAAATTCCTCAGCTTCATGTGAGGGCAGAAGTGGAAATTTATCACCAGACCTGTTGGCGAAAAAGATGAAGAACAAGTAAAAAAAAAGATTCCAAACTTCATCCAAACACATTATTTACAGGCAGAAGAATTCGGACCCCTTGAATTGTTTTTCCCGTTTTATTGTCAAACAACAAATTTCTGCAAATTTAGTTTCACAAGGCAAGTTTATTTAAGATAAGATTAAATAAGAAAGACTTTATTGATCTCACAGTGGAGAAATTCACTAGTAGTCAAAAAGAAGGTGCCAAAAGGAGGAAAATATACAACAGTATATACAGTATATACAATGCGTCCACATATGTATATATAACAGCTGAAGTCTCTTATTTAAAAGGATTATTGCACCGAGTATTTAACGGGTATTTATATAAATGGCGCACTGCTCTGACCACTAGACCAGGGGTAACCAATTAAAAATCAGCAGGGCCCGAATAAAGAAAATCACCAACCAGTAAAGGTCCGGAGACATTTTTTATTATAATCTGTTACTTTAAACAAAATTTAACACTGAAATAAAATGAGGTTTTTAGGCATCCATGTTATACATTGACTTTTCAAATAAAAAAATATTAAAAATGTTTCCATTTTAAAAATTTTAAGTATTTTTTGAAGTAGAGAACAATTGTTCAGTTTGCTATATAGACAATTTCCTGATTCACATATTTTATAAAACACCTGAACTGCCTGTTTTTGTTTTCTTTCTTTTTTTTATGGCTTAATGAGAGCAGTGGGCTTTAGGCCGCCCTGCAAGGCTTTAAACCTGGGTTTAAATGGTGACAAAGCCATTCTCAAGCACATATCAAGGTACTCATTCTGAGCCTGAATCGATATTTATTTTTGATTATGTTCATGGTGGAGAATCCTGCTTCAGAGAAGTAGGTGAGCCAAAAATACTCAAAATATTCAGGGTCATCTTTGAGCACACCATTTCACTTTTCTGTCACCAGTTCACAGCGCTTCTTCCAGCAGTCTACACTTTCTTACCCACCGCCTGGCTGGCCACAGGTTTGCCTGTTGTGTCTAAAAGGAGCTAGCGGCAACAGCCCAGACTGACACAGCTCATTGGCTTATTTACGTCACGTGTAGCCTGATCCAGGGCTTTACCGTACAAACAGGAGAAGAGGGGCAAGTGAAATTAGACACTGCCGTCGAATAACATGAGGTAATTTATAAATGTTTTAAATCAGTGGGGGAGTCCGAAATAGCCAGCAGGTGGGTCCGGATACGGACCGCAGTCCGCTAATCCGTGACCTCTGCACTAGGCCAACACTTTCCAACTTGATGACCCCAAAGTATATCCCAGTATATCCCAGGGCGGTGAGGAGCTGGACACCAAAGGCTGCTGAGGCATTGCTTTGAGTCGACAGACTGGGATGTGCTATGTGAGCCACATGGGGAGGACATTGATGGGATGACCAACTGCGTTACGGATTACATCAGATTCGGGGAGGACCCCACCTTACCAGCATGGACGGTCCAGTGCTTCTCCAATAACAAGCCCTGGATTACCCGTCACCTGAAGGAACTTCTAAACAAGAAGAAGGAGGCTTTCAGGTCTGGACACAGAGAGGAGCTGAGTAGAGGGTCGTATCAACCCATAGACATGCTGAGGATGTCCAAGGAAACATATAGGAGGCAAAACTCCAACTAAAAAGTGTGAGAAACATGTGGACGGCAATGAAGCACATCACTGGGATGAAGGGGAAAGACAGGCAGACACCGGGGAGCCTGGATAGATCAAACCAGAACAACCAGTTTTTCAACAGATTTAGCTCACCACCTGTCACCCATAAGACGACGCCAACCCCCCCACACAATGCACACTGTCCAAGCGACACCAACAGGCTTAAGAAAGTCAGGAAGGCTTTCTCTGTACAGCAATCTCTGCATCACACATTGGTCAGACAGCAGAGCACTTTCTCTCACAGGCTGCGCCACTTCGCTGTTGAAGGGAAAGATACAAGAAATCCTTCCTGCCATATGCCATCCCACTGTACAATAAAAAATTAACCAACACTGTGCTGTACTCAATGTCGTATTACATTATATATAATCTGTTCACTGTACCTTATTTGATTTGAAGTAATCCTTGCGTAATTAGCAAACCCAAAATGAAAAAGCAAATCACTGAGGAACTGTAATCCCAAATTAAATGTGTGATACAGCATTTGAAAACTAACACCTCCTTGTTATAAATAATGTCATATTTAAAGTTTACCATGCTGCTATATCCGTTTTAATTGTGCTCTGGTGCTCGCTGTGTCCATAAAATAAACTTGGTGGTTGAATTGTGGAGAATCTTACCGTTGCAATTTTCACGCGTTCTGAGTTGTTAGTTGTAAAAACTATAAAAAACGGTCGCCGGAGCTAAGTGGATTTTAAGAGTTTAAACTTATTTTATTTACTTGTACTTTAACCAACACTGTACATTTATACATTTTATATTTTATATGCTCGCTACTTGTGATGTCATTGCGCCCTTTACTGCGCATGCAGGACAAATTAGTTGTGTGAATGCGCAGTAGAGGGCGCAATGACATCACAAGTAGCGAGTATGCTCTCTTTTTAACAGAAGTAAACATGAATCGTAGCCCTGGATCGCATCTAGTAATCACAGAGCCAGAGCATTAACAAAGCAAACTTTTCAAGAAGATCAACAAGAAAGACCGCTCTCTGCATTATTGTCCATCTTGGTTGTTTTTGTCGCTGCTTCTGCATTTCAAGACACAGAATAGTGACCTTTATTCAGTATTAATGACGTTCAGGTTGGATGAATGCGACCTGGCCATGTTTGGTTCTATATGGGTGTATAGAGCAGGGTTGAACTAGAAGACCTGAGTGGTCTGGGAGGTTGATACATTGGCAACAACTCTGTTATGTATTGAGTTGCTGATCCATTCAGTAATTTATAGACTAACAGAATGATCTTCAGTCTATTCTCTGAGCTACAGGAAGCCAGTGGAAGGACTTCAGAACTGGGCCGATGTGCTCTACTTTCTTAATTCTAGTGAGAACACGGGCAACAGCGTTTTGGATCAGCTGCAGCGGCCTGAAGGACTTTTAAGGCAAACCTGTGAAAACACTGTTGCAGTAATCAATTCTACTAAAGAAAAAAGCATGAATGAGTTTTTCTAGATCCTGCTTGGATATCAGTCCATTAATCCAGGAAATGTTTTTTCATGTGATAAAAGGCTGACTTAGTAACTGCCTTCATGAGCCTCTGAAGTTTCAGGTCTGAGTCCATCATGACACCAAGATCTCAGCCATAATCAGTGGTTTCTAGATGCAGTAGCTGAAGCTGTGAGCTAATTCTGGATCTCTCCTCCTTTGGTCCGAATATTATTACCTCAGTTTTGTTTTTTTCAGTCGTAGAAAATGATGGCGCATATCCACATACTGATCTGATCAAATATCTAGAAAAACGCTCTGTTGGGTTCATAGTGACCTGGTGACATTGTGGTGTGAAGCTGGGTGTTGTCTGCAACAATATTGTTGTTTGTTATAATCTGAGCAGAGGGGAGCATGTAGATGTTGAATAGGAGGGGCCCAAGAATGGATTTAGGATATTTTGTGTTATTCCAACACACAGGGAAGCACGATTATGAGGTGGAGAAAATGTGATGCATTGATTGCCATCATCCCTTTTGTTACCAAACAACTTCTCAGAACCAGGTTACGGTGCTCAATTTGGTGTTGAACACAAACTGAGAAAAAAAATTATGAAATGCATTACATGGGGCTCTCACCTCAGTTTTATATCAAAGTGCTCTAGTCTCTGCTTCAATCTTCCTCTCTCCATGAAGCCCGTCTGGGTCAGCTGGGGCCACCGTTTGCCTCACTGCGATCTCAGGACCCCCGCCATATATACCCAACAAATACTGCCACGTCTCCTCTGAGATCTGTCCGTAGTCTGCTCCTGAGGCGAAAAAAAACAAACAATAATCATCTGAACTTTTCTCCTTTCCACGTTTACGTCCCAGTCAGTGAAGGAAGGTTTACCTTGCTTCAGCGTTATGTGTCCTCCTTTCATAACACCAATTTTACTATTGTCGATCGGACCAGGCGGCTCTGAGAAAACAAACAAATTATGTTTGTTTTACTTTTTGTTTAAATGAATAACATCCACTGCTAAATATTGGTAAGTTCAGGGTTGTACCATTGTCTTTTCCCTTCACAAAGCTCTCCCACTCTCTGAACCACTGCATGCTGATACACAAGATCACTGATGGAGCCTCCTCAGCCTGAAACTCTTTGTTCAGCTAAAGACAAAACTTAAATCAATTAAAGGTTCTTAGAATAGGGAGTGAGTTTAATAATGGAGCCTTTCTGGGGGTTTGGGCGAACCTTAATGAAGGTGTCGATTTCAGTTTTCCTGCGTTTCGCCAGAGCTTCGATCTCCACCTGACAGATGGCGCACATGTACAGGTGGTTGACTGCAGGCCCGCCTCCAAAACTGAAAAGACCAAAACAAATTCCTAGTGAAAGGTTAGCAAAAATAATAAAGAAAAAGTTTGGTAGATCACCTTTTATTTTTTCCCCAAATTGCAAGAAAAAAGCAAAAAACCTCAACAAACTGACTAAAATGTTTGATTAATCAAATTTAATTACAAGAAAATACTTAAACATTATCATTTATTTGCAATAGCAAAATAGAATTACAGGAAACAAAACATAAAATAATATATATAAAGCACCTTTCAAAAATAGATGTGCTATATGTACAACAGTGATGGGAGATTAATCCTACACAGAGTCAATGAACCTTTAATTAATAATTCATGACTGCCTGTTTCACTCGGGGACAATACTTCAAACACTGGGAGTAGCTGTATGACTCAGCTACCCCTGAGCTACTATTGCTACATCTCCTTTTTCCAGCTCCTCTGATAAATCAAACTATGATCACTCATGGCTTCTTTTCATTTACCTGTTGTAAAGATACTCCCAAACATTCTGAGGAACTATCACAACCAGATCATCGATGTACTGGTACTTGTTGGGTGGGATTCCTGTGAAGAGAAGATATACAGTATATTTAAATGATTATTTAAAAAAGTCTTAATAAAAGAGAAGTTTTAAGAAAAAAACATGCAAATTACATAAAAATGCAGAAGAGTCTCTATTTATTTTTTGGTAATGTAATGCATCTAGAGCAAAGTGGGACTTGTTGGACTCATGGAATATCAGAAATGCATGTTATGTATAATTATGTGGAAGAGGTTTTTACAGATTTGGAGGTTTCTAGAGCACCTAGTGGCGTCAGCACCCAAGATGAAGGTTAGATTGTCTGCTCATGGTCAGACATATTGTTTATGATATTGCAAGTTTAAACAAAGTGGATTTCCTATGTCTTTCGAGTAGCTCTTACAAGCAACAAGTGCAAAAAAAAAAAGAAAAATCAAAGTCAAGGTTTTTGCTCAGAAATGTTACTGAAAAAAAACAATGTAATGTAAATAATAATAATTTTGCAGGTAATTTTGCAGGTTGTTTTTGGATCGAAAAAGATCTAGAAAGGTCCTAATGGTAATGAATGGAGGTGGGCGTGTTGAAATTCTTTTACACAGTTAAAATCAACCATCTCTCCAAGATGTATCTTGACTACAGTTTGACATTTAAGTAGATTTACCTTTAGTTTTAGGTTCAAGACTCCTGTTTTTATAACTGGAGTCCCTCGGGGCTCACTAGTAGGTCCACCTTCAGTTAGAATCCATACCAATGATTTTATTTCATTAATAATAAATCTATGATAACTTAGTGCGTACAGATGCAGTTGAAGGAAGGATAAACATTTTGACAAATGCTTAAAATAATAAACAGCTGAAATATGCAGTAAAAAACACAGTTCCCTCAGTTTTACTTTTGCAGCTTTGATGCCTTTTCATTTATCCATTACTGTATTCATATTATTGCTGTTTTAATTCATAATGCTGGATTCCAGTTAAATCAGTTACAAAGGCTACCAATTAAATACAGCAAATTTTAAAGCTACATTTTATACAGTTCCTAATTGGATTATTAACCCCTGGAACCCTACGGACCCACCGGTGGGTCCAGCTGCTACGTGACCTCGTAATTTTAACAAACCCCCAGTATTGATGTAAAAAACACATTTGGCACAGTTTGGTGACATTTTTGGATAAATGTGCGAAAATGGCCCCTCCGCCTAAGAAATTTCTCACTAATACCATTCTAAAATAAATATGATTCATCTGATTGAGTCCAAATTTGGTATATTTTTAAACAACATTTAGATTTAAAAGTCTGTACTACTTTTTTGTGCTATAAATAATATTTTGGTAGTGTTTTGCAATGTTTATTTCAAAGAAAATTTTGGCAAGGTTCAAAAAATGCAAAATATTTTGTATTTTGTCCCTAATATTTCAGGCAGGGTCAAATCAACAATGGTGCTGACACCAGAAAACCATTCTATGACATCTTACCTTTACAGAGGTACCAAAGGTTTCTTCTTAAATCTAATAGCTGTGAGGCTATAAGTGATTTACTTTTGTGTGTTTTTGTCAGGCAGAAATTTATTTATTCCCCCTGAGGGTGTAAGAGGTTAATAAGTTCTACCTCTATAAAATAATTGAAGATAAAACTAGTTACTTCAGAAACCAGTAAGAGATCTGATTCAACTAAAGACTGGTGTTTAGAGGGTGATACTAAAATAATTTAAGTGCGCCTGAGTTGAAGGGTGAACTGGGGGCCATAAAAGTATTTTAGGCGACATTAGAATAACCCTGTGCCCCATATGATCAATGATGTGTGAAGTTGTTTCTTCGAATACATAACTAAATGGAACCTCAATGGATAACAAACCAGAGACTCATCTTGCTGTTCAGATTTAAAGTAACAAAATCCTCTGAAAACTGCTCCTTTGTTCCTACTTTGGGATACGGTGATCTAAATATTTCCTTTTTTTGTAGAAAATCTTAGCATTTTTGTAATATTTTACTGCAGTATCCCACTTGGGAGTTTTCTGATGGTTTTAATTTTAATGACCTTAACGTTTTTTGTTTGAATAGCATGAGGTTATTTTTAACAACTGTTTTTATTTTTTGACTTTTAGTTCTAACTGTTGTATTATATTATCTTACTGTAAACATTGTATATCATTTCATTGCATTTCTTTTTATGAACCTGAACAGCACTTTTTTTTTTTTACCTGGGAGTGTAAAACAGTCAAATAAAGTTTAACTGAATGATTGATTGATATCAGCACCAGAATCATTAGAATCCTGTCTCTTGATCTTATTTCCACAATCAGAGAGCTTCACTATGGGAAATATCACTGGCCCTCGTGTGAACTCTCTATAAAGGGGGTCTAAAATACTTTGCTACAGTTGAAACTTGTGCTCAATGCAGACAAAACTAAATGTATGCTTTTCACAGATCTTCGGAACAGGCCACTGAATGTTCCTTCAGTGGTTACTCTTGATGGTCGTGAAATACAGATTGTTTCAACTTATAAGTATCTTGGTATTGTCATTAATGACCACCTATCATTTAAGCCTCATGTTCACTGTCTAGTGAGAAAGTTGAGACTAAAATTGGATTTTTACTTTTGAAATAAGCTGTGCTTTTCTTTTAATGTAAAAAAACGGTTGGTGGCATCCACTTTTTTAACTGTGCTGGACTATGGTGATATATTATATATGCATTCATCTGCTCAATGCCTGCAGATGATTGACGCAGCCTATCATGCATCATTGAGATTTATTACTAATTGTAAAGCTCGCACCCATCACTGTGAGCTGTATTCTCGTGTAGGGTGGTCTGCCTTGGCTACACGGAGGCTTTGTCATTGGTTTATATTTATATATAAGGTTATTCTTGGTGCGCTTCCATCTTATTTATGTTCACTTCTTATGAAAAAAAGTACTGGTCATTACTCTCTCCGTTCGCAGGCTGTTGTCTTGCTTTCTGTCCCACGTGTCAGTACTGAGCTGGGTAAAAAGGCCTTTGCTTACTCTGCTCCCTTTACATGGAATTTGCTGCAAAATAACGTGAAACTTAGTAAACTGGTTCCTTTGAATACCGTATTTTCACGACTATAAGGCGCACTTAAACGTCTTTTTTTTCCCTCAAAATGTGTGGTGCGCCCTTTGGTGCAGTGCGCCTTATGTGTGTTGTAACTGCGACTTTTGAGACCACCTCATTGAGGAGATGATGAAAGAGTGGCTGAATGTAAGGAGACCAGGTTTTTTTTTTCCACTCCTCACCATCGCTGTTAATATGTGACTCCATGCGTGCCCATCTCACAGCTGATGTGAAAAACATGGGGAAACAAATGAATGCTGTGCTCGCTGTTCAACCGCACGACATCGGTGTGAACCGGACCCAGCAGGTGCAGCAGAAGCAGCGAGTTTACATGCAAAGTCAATGGTTGACGCGCGTATAGGTGCAGCAAAAGGTCCCGCAGCGCGTTTTGAGCAGCAGGCGCAGCGCGTCGGGAGCGTTTAAGCATCTGATGCACCGCCAACGCGCTGCTGCTGCTCGAGATGGAAAAATTTAAGTTTTGCTGCTGGACGCGCAGCATCAACCAATCAGAGAAGCTGATCTGGGAGCTGACAGCGAGACAGACACAGCGCTCTGATGACATATGATATTAACGCAAATGAAAAAGGCTGGATGGATGAGGAGATGATGAAAGCGTGGCTGAGGCCGGTGTATGTGAGGAGACCAGGTGGTTTTTTCCACGCATCACCATCGCTGTTAATCTGTGACTGGGTGCCCATCTCACAGCCGATGTGAAAAAACAAGGTGAATCAAATGAACGCTGTGCTCGCCGTTATCCCGGGAGGTCTGACAAAGGAACTTCAACCGCTCGACATCGGTGTGAAGCGGCCGTTCAAAGTAAGGCTGCGAGCGGCGTGGGAGCGATGGATGACAGACAGAGACCACAGTTTCAGGAAAAGTGGAAGGCAGCGCCGGGCAAGTTACGCCACCGTTTGCGGATGGATTGTTGATGCTGGGACTAACGTGTCTGCTGGCTCTGTTGTTCAAGCTTTCGCAAAAGCCGGCATCATTTCTGAGGAGCCGCACTGCACGGAAAGTGACTCTGACAGCGAAGAAGGGGAAACTGGCATTTCTGATTTAGCGCAGCTGTTTAATTCAGAAACAGAGGATGATGACTTTGATGGGTTTGATTAATACTTTGTAATAAATACATGAATAAAGCACAATCATACTCAGTTTTGCTCCCGCTCTATTTTTCTACCTGAAAACTTAATTCAACAGCAGCCTCTGGGCGGGTCTCCTCCTCTTCACCGCGGTGGCTGGCAGGTGTTTTTCATCTAAATAATCTAAATCTTGCAGCTATATTTGCTGTGATCAGTGGGAATAAAGTAGTTTTAATATGTTTTTAAGTGAGAAAGGCCACCTGAAAACTTAATAATTGCAGTCAGTTCATCCAGATTATTATCGTGCCTATAGGCTACTATTTCTGTCGGAGGCGCTCAGACCCCCACATACCAGCGGTGCGCCGACAGTAGAAATCCCTTCAACAGCAGCCTCACCGCGGTGGCTGGCAGGTGTTTTTCATCTAAATAATTTAAACTGCAGGCACCAGGATACCGGCAATAAAAGCGAACAAATTCCGTCGGCAGGTTTCAGGATTTTAAATTAATTTAGGAGTAATCACAGCGCTGTGTCATCTGCGATGTGTCATGGCCAGCTCCCAGGTTTGATTAATACTTTGTAATAAATACATGAATAAAGCACCATCATACTCAGTTTTGGGCCCGCTGTATTTTTAAATACGCAGTAGAGCTATTTAAAGGTAGTAGAGGACATGTACCTGTGTATAAAAAACGCGCCCTATAGTCCGGTGCGCCTTATGTGTGTGTTAAATACAGAAATGGCACACATAACTGAGAGTGCGCCTTTTAGTACGGTGCGCCTTATGGTCGTGAAAATACGGTACTTTTAAGCTGAGAATTAGATGTTTTGAGTTGGACTCCTTCACATGTCAATGTTTTAATTGAAATTTTATTGTAAGTGCATATTTGGCTTTTATGTGTGTGTCTTTGTACGTATGTAATGATGTGATGTGATGTAATTTTGATGCCTATCTTGGCCAGGTCTCCCTTGCAAAAGAGATTTTTAATCTCAATGGGTATTACCTGGTTAAATAAAGGATAAATAAATAAATAAAAAAATAAAAATATTTTCTCCTTCAGATGTAGGGTACAATTATGGTCCCAAAGTAGAAAACACAGTTGCCACACACCTCCATGCTGACAAAGGAAGGTGTGATTGCTGATTGGACCTGGCTCAGCAAAAGTGTTGAACTTGTTCAGCCATTCCCTAGAGATGTAAAACTGCAGCAGGCTGGGTTCCTTCATGCTGGCCAAAGCCACCACCTTCTGTCTCTCTCGCACAGAGTCCTCACTGCTCTTTCTGCAATATGGCAAGAAACATTTATTTTGAAAAATATTTTTCTAAACCATTTGGTGGAGAAAAAAAGTGTCTTAATTAAACTCACCTATAGAAAAGCACATAGGCCTCTGCATTCTGAACCACCGTCTCATGCACCTCAGTCACATACTGATCGTCAAACTCGTACCACTGGCCATTGATCACATTCTGACAGTAAGCTATATAATGTCCACCTGCATTAAGAAAAAAGAATGAAAAGATGTCAGTAAAAGCTTCACATTACAAAGAACAGATTAATAAGAAAAATAAATAATCAAAGAAAACAGGAATTCCTCTCATACTTCCTGCTGTGCCATGGTGACAAATGACCGACAGCAGGTCATACGTGGTGACTTGAGACGGGCTGTCTTTGGCCAGGAAGGGCTGCATGTCGAGGCCCTCCAAAGGGAAGGAGACATGGCTGCTGATCTTAAACGAATACATGACTTCGTGACGAAAACGTTTCAGGTGAATGCAGAGAATCTAGGAAACAAACAAAAGCAATGACAAACTAATAGCTGAACTTTAAACAAATTATATCAAAAATAAAGACAACTATTACCTCTGGAAGTTTCAGCACTTTGCAGTATTTGACACCATTTCGCAATCTGCCAGCAAAAAACAAGATATATATATTCATTATAAGGTCAAATTAAGCAACACAGACTTCCAGCATCTACTTACTTTTTACATCTCTCGCAGCTATACATGTTGTCTCCTGTAGAAAAATAAACAAAACAAAAAATATGTAGCTCACACTTGTAACAATACAGCATCAGTGGAAAAAGTAAGATTTTTTGTACCTTTGAGCTCATCAGCAGCAAAAAAGGCAGCGAGGCAGTCTTCGAGCGTAACCATGGGACCCCAAAACCAGCTTGGAATGCAGGAAACCACAAACCTGTTCAAAAGAAAACCCCAATGATTATCATCCATGGGAGGTCATGGCAAGCATACAACACATCCCACTTTACATTTATAATGTTTTGTGCATAATTATGGAGTGGAAGGATGTAAATAAAAAAATAAAAATAAAAAATAAATAAAAATATATATATAGTTTGCATTTGTACTCGGATGCTTCAAGTGTCTAAGCCTCCAATTTTAAGACTTGACATGGATTTTGGTCTGAACTTTGACTAGGCCACTTCAACACACACATGTTTTAATCCAAACCCCTTTAAATGTTGAATAAGTCTTTGAAAACATGCAAGGTTTAGGATCCTGCTGCACTATCAAGGAACCTGAACAGTTAAGAAAAAATACTCAATTAAAATTAGTTTTTGTTTCAATTAAAGGTTATGGAAAATGCAACATAGTCTGTGCTTCTGTCTCTAAAAAAAAATTATAATGTAAGTGTAACTGTAGTTTACTTAAAACAGAAGTATAAATCCTTATAAGTTTAGCTGTTCTGTTCTCAAAGGTTTGTTTGACGACATTATTGAAGGAAAAAAAAACATTATGAGGATGAATAAAAAGTGAAGAAAACTGTTAGGACTCTTGAAGGATCCCAACACATCTTTCCCATTAGAAAACATGGTTGCGGCTGTATTATGCTGTGGGGATACGTTTTTCAGTAGGAACAGAGACTGTGATCAAATGGTTGAGCTGAATAGAGCAATACTGGATGAAAATCTCTCACAGAGGCCACAAAAGACTGTGGTGAAACCAAGCAATGACCCTACACATACCAGCTGAGCTACATTTGAAAATAAATAACTAAATAAATACCTAAAGGTGAGGTACATTTGTATGACGGAGTATTAGGGCCAGGCTAGAGATTTCTTTTTTTTTTTAATGAGAGAATAAATTCGCAATATTATGAGAATAGCGTCGTAATATTACAAGAATAAAATCGTAACATTTCGAGAATAAAGTCATAAGATTTCGAGAATAAAGTCATAACATTTTGAGAATAAAGTCATAAAATTTCGATAACAAAGTCACAATATTTTGAGAATAAAGTCACAACATTTGGAGAATAAAGTCCTAATATGCTGTGAGTTTATTCTCTTTATTCTCTAATGTTGCGACTTTATTCTTGTGATGTTGCGACTTTATTCTCGTAATGTTGCGACTTTATTCTCGTAATGTTGCGACTTTATTCTCGTAATGTTGCGACTTTATTCTCGTAATGTTGCGACTTTATTCTCGTAATGTTGCGACTTTATTCTCGTAATGTTGCGACTTTATTCTCGTAATGTTGCGACTTTATTCTCGTAATGTTGCGACTTTATTATCGTAATGTTGCGACTTTATTCTCATTGCGACTTTATTCTCATTGCAACTTTATTCTCATTGCGACTTTATTCTCGTAATGTTGCGACTTTATTCTCATTGCGACTTTATTCTCATTGCGACTTTATTCTCGTAATGTTGCGACTTTATTCTCGTAATGTTGCGACTTTATTCTCGTAATGTTGCGACTTTATTCTCGTAATGTTGCGACTTTATTCTCATTGCGACTTTATTCTCATTGCGACTTTATTCTCATTGCGACTTTATTCTCGTAATGTTGCGACTTTATTCTCGTAATGTTGCGACTTTATTCTCGTAATGTTGCGACTTTATTCTCATTGCGACTTTATTCTCATTGCAACTTTATTCTCATTGCGACTTTATTCTCATTGCGACTTTATTCTCATTGCGACTTTATTCTCATTGCGACTTTATTCTCGTAATGTTGCGACTTTATTCTCGTAATGTTGCGACTTTATTCTCGTAATGTTGCGACTTTATTCTCGTAATGTTGCGACTTTATTCTCATTGCGACATTATTCTCATTGCGACTTTATTCTCGTAATGTTGCGACTTTATTCTCGTAATGTTGCGACTTTATTCTCATTGCGACTTTATTCTCATTGCAACTTTATTCTCATTGCAACTTTATTCTCATTGCAACTTTATTCTCGCAATGTTGCGACTTTATTCTCATTGCGACTTTATTCTCATTGCGACTTTATTCTCGTAATGTTGCGACTTTATTCTCATTGCGACTTTATTCTCATTGCGACTTTATTCTCGTAATGTTGCGACTTTATTCTCGTAATGTTGCGACTTTATTCTCGTAATATTGCGACTTTATTCTCATTGCGACTTTATTCTCATTGCAACTTTATTCTCATTGCAACTTTATTCTCATTGCGACTTTATTCTCATTGCGACTTTATTCTCGTAATGTTGCGACTTTATTCTCATTGCGACTTTATTCTCGGAATGTTGCGACTTTATTCTCGGAAGGTTGCGACTTTATTCTCGGAATGTTGCGACTTTATTCTCGTAATGTTGCGACTTTATTCTCGTAATATTGCGACTTTATTCTCGTTGCGACTTTATTCTCGACTTTTTGCCTCTACCTCATATGCTTCACAAGTAGAAAAAAAAAAAAACTATGAAATGACGGTTAATAAAACAAACCAATTGCTATGGAATTGACTTCAGCTGCTTTAAAGTGTGCAATGAAAAAAACAAAACAAAACAAAACAACAACACTCATTCCAATGGCAGGATCTTGCTGTAACGGAGCCTGGCACCCAGAAGCAGAATGAGGCTTCTGTGGGTTGGTCTAAATATACATTTTTCGCAGAAGCTGACCACTCATTGTTAAGGGCTTGTTTCCTTTAACTAGCAGCCAAGGCTTCAACTCATTACACTGGAAGTTACAAATCATGTAAAAGGGGACGATTCACAAAAAAGATCTAATTCAGAACAAGAAAAAAAAAAGGCTACTAATGAAAAATGACTAACTCACAAAGCCTCCATCATCAGATTTGCTTTTGCAGCAGGGTTTAATTTTCTACAATCTCTACTGTGTCTGACTTAAAGAAAAAAAAAACTGAAAAAAGACATTAGGCTACCCACATGAAAAGTCAAGAGGCTACTTGCCTACTGTTGCAGAAAATACACCCGCTGGTTATAGTTCTCAAATCTCTGCTTTGATCTGAATCAAAATAAAAAGCTTGTCCAACTGAGGCAGATCCAACTCGTCCCTGCATTTACCACCCAGTTAAATCTATCTGATTCTTCAGAAGTCCCATTCCAGTTCTCCTAGGAAACACTGACTCAGTGTTTTTCACTGACCGCCGTATGGAGTCCATGATGTAGGAGATCCAGCCCTGCGAGCCGTAGCTGTCTGGACACACGCCGGTCTTTACAGGCAGGTTCTGATGGATGGACGAGTGGAGCTTAGCCAGGTCCTCTTTGCCGGGGATCGGTAGAGAAAGGTCCTGGAAGGTTTCTACAGTGGTGGAGACCTGTAAACATCCATGCAGCTGTGTGTTTAATCATTTATCATATATATCCATATCCTCACCATTAAAAATACTGAACATGTTTGCTAAATGTGGGTTTAACACCCCCTGGTGTTTGAAGCTGCACATCTCACCCTGTCACAAGTTAAACACTGAACCAAGCTGAGGATGGAGCCGTCGAAGATGTCCGAGATGATGCTGCGATAGTGAGACTGCTTCTTCTTCCTGGAGGTGAGCAGCAGCTGAGCTGCAGGAGAAATGGTGACAGCGGTTCATTCAGAGACAAACTTGCAACCTGAAACAAAGCAGCCCCGAGTACCTAATGCCAGTCAGAAAATAAACCAACATCTCCACGGATCATACCACAGACGGAGAAAAGATGGGCTGCAGGTTCGACAATAAAAGAAGAGACTAATCCAGTTAAAATGATTATATAATCATAATCTTCATTTCAGCACCAAATTATATGTAACAGCATATAGGTTATTTTCACCACACCTCAAGGTGCATTATATTACATGCTTTCTATGAACCAAAAATGGAAGTTCTTAGTTTTGATCTGCAAAGTAAATAATGTTTAATCATTTCTCTACTGTTTCTACATCTCTACCGCTAACTGCTTTATAATAATATACTACAGGGGGACAAAAAAGATTTTAGTGCAAATAAAAACAACCAAGACATATTTCAAGAAGTCCTGAAAGACTCAAACATTTAGCAAGTCTTTGTTTCTCTTAGACCTTTCTTAATGGAGTAGGCGGGTCCTGCAGAGTGGAGCGGGCTGGACCTGGGAGGACTGGAGGACAGTTTGGGATGCAGCTCCTGCAGCGTCCGTACAGGACTGCAGGGAGTGGACTGTGGCTGAGCCATTGATGCTTCATTGTCTGGTTCTAAAATAAAAAGCAGCACATTGAAGGTCCAATGTTTACTTTTTAGATATTCATGATTCAAAGCAGAAGATTAAAAAAAAACAGCTGTTACCTGAGGCAGTGGTGTTTTCGACCTGTGCCTGTCCTGCAGCAGACGTCTGGTTGTCCTCTTGAGCTTGGACCTCGGTGTTTGCACTGAGTGCTGACGGCTCTTCCTCTCTCCTCTCCGGTGGCCCCTCCTCAGCTGCAGTGTCCACATCTGCATCCTCATCCATCTCTTGAGAGCCTCCGTGCAGGGGAGAACCGGACACCCTCTTTTCCTTCAACCTCTCCTTCTCCGAGATAACCGTCCCCAAGCCCACACCTACAGATGGGGACCGAAACCCATCGCACTCGTCCTGCAAGAGAAGCTCCCCCTCCCCCAGTCCTCCCCCCTCTCCCCGGTCGCTGCTAGAACCAGAGTCACAGGACAGGAATTCGTCCTCGGAGGGCGAACGGTCTCCATCCCGCCGTTCTTCCCCGTCACTCCCCTCCCTGCTCATGCTGCACTCTGTCAGCGGCTCCTTCAGCTCCTCGTGCAACTGGTCCATCAGACAGCGCAGGAATTCCTGGGTGTCCTGGAGAGAAAGAAAACATTAGAATGACAACTGCAGCTTCTTTGACAGGTGCCGGGCCATTTCTACAAGATATTAAAGAAATATTCATAAGCATCCTTTCTGCAACAAGAAAATATTTTGTCTCTTTTTCCATTTTAAGCTTTATTGGCTTAATTGTTAAAATAATTCAATAGCAGCTTCTGAGCTAATCATAGGAAGAAACTGATAATTTGGCTTGACAAAACCTACTAACTGACCTGTTACCTCTAATTATTTAGTTGAATACCGTGACCATGTGGCTATGAAGCAGGTCTACAGCTAAATTCTGCCCTCTGAAAGCTTTAAGTAAGGGAAAAGGAACATCTGTGCTTTTGAGATGACTTTACCATGTAGAGGAGCGCTGCAAAGGAGGTGATCAGTCTTCACCCTGAACACGTTAAACTTTAGGTTCAACTATAAATTGATACCTTCCCACTTGAGCTAACTTAACTGTAAACTACAGGTTTATCAGCCATCAAAGAGAAGGAAATTAATATGGTCCAAAAGAAGAAATAATTGAGACATTTCTACATAGTTTTATATCAAAACTGCATTGTGCTACTTAAACTTTTCAGATTTCTTTGTCAATTTTAGGCATTGAATATTCCACCATATATTTTCAGAAACCAAAACAATGCCTGAGACTTCAACAAATTACCTTAAATAAAAGAAAACTCAAGGTAAATGTGCTTTCATAAGAGACATAAAGCAACAATTCTTAAGAAACAAGTTTGCAGTTTTAACTGGATTTCTCCAAATAAGATGGATCAGCCTAAGACAACAAGAATTTGTTTTTACTTGCTTCAGTCGTCTACTTCTTTCATGCCATGTTACGGCGGATCTGACACAGTAGTGAGTCCCGCCTGAAGGTGCAAACTGCCTGTAGTTCATAAAAATGTCTTTCTGTAAGAACTTCAGGTTTAAATCTGGGTTTTCAGTTTTAAAAAGATGTTTGAATTTACCAGCGTTTCCTCTGAAAGAGAGTAATATAACATAATGATGTTAGTCGTTTCTTTGTTGCTTTCAGACATTAATAACGCCACTCAGTTTTAGCTGATAGCCATCTTGGTTTGGAATTACTCTATAGAAGTAAATCCTTTAGTAGCCAAAAAAAAAATTATTTAAGGCCTTATCTAAACTTTACCTTTGTTTCTTAAACTGCACGCTCTCCACACTGCAATCCAATCATACCTACATTCCTTAGGAGTTTCAAAAACTTTAAAATGCTAGAAAAGAAACTAAAGCTTCACATCTTTGATGCCTAGATAACAGAAAACTGCTCAAAGGATTCAATCGTTTTAGTTTCCTGCCCAATTGTGTGCAAAAAAAAACATTTAGAAACTGCAGGAACTGCATTTAAAAGAAAAGGGGGAACTCATTTCCTTATAAAAACACTCCAGCCCTCCTGCTACTTAGGCAGCTTTCACAGAACCTGCATGTTTAGATTGTTAACGAATACTGAAATATAAACACAACTGTTTCATTCTAACTGATGTTCTTCTCAGTGCCTGACTGGGATTGGTCCTTTTTGATGAACACACATAAATCCAAGGAATCATCTCTTTTCCAGTTAATATTTGCAGAATGTTTCCCGTGGTTTGCAATAGAAATCAAATGTAATTACTTGCAGGGTGCTCACCTGCTGAGCATAACCTCGAAACATTGGGTTTACCAGTTTGATGCCATGGGACAGGCTGGTAGGAACAACGTAGCTGGGCCTGAAAGGGCAAAAGATACACGAGACGGATCTAAATCAGTCCAAGAAAAAAATAATGACCCAAAAAAGTGAAATATTAAAAAGTTTTAAATATTTTTATACCGTTTCTTATGCCAGAGCTCTGAGATGAGTTTCTGGTAGCTTTTACACAGCGCCGGCTTCTTATCGGTCCGCACCAATCCACTACAGTCCAGGAAAAACTGGGTGAGTGGAGGGCTGGTGAACAAAAAGAACGAAAAGTTAAAGTTTGGAGCTCTGATTTACAAACTAAACTAGACTAGACTCATCTCTGATAATTGGCTAAGTGGAGGTGAACCCACCAGTTGGACAGGGCCTGCAGAGCAGCATTCATGTAGCAGGAGTTTCCTATATTCTTCATTCCCGTCAACCCTGAAGGCAACACGGGAACCCATCAACTTATATAACTTTACAATGAACACACAAGTAGAAGTGAACAAGTAGAAGTGAAACACCTCCAAAAGGGGTTCTTCATAGCAAAACTTTTGAGTTTCTTTCTATATTTACTCTTATTAAAGGAATAGTACACCCAAAACATGATTAGCCTTCATTTTCTACTCACCCCCATGCTGAACAACACTCTGGAGTACTTTTTTGATATCTCAAATGCATCTGGAGATCTGGGAGGCTTCTTGCTGTCTGCTGACATTCAAATAATGGAGGTCTATGGTGCCCGAGGCAGAAAGGTCCATAAAAGTCCACAAAAACGTGTCAATATTCCTCCATACTGCTCGTCCAATGTATTCCAAGTGTCCTGAGTGGGTAGCATCCAGAATTTACTCGAAACGAAGTCATTTAGAATGTTTTTAGAGTATAAACAGTAGTGTATATAGTATATACACTATATTGCCAAAAGTATTTGCTCACCCATCCAAATTATTGGAATCAGGTGTTCCAATCACTTCCATGGCCACAGGTGTATAAATTCAAGCACCTAGGCATGCAGACTGTTTTTACAAACATTTGTGAAAGAATGGGTCGCTCTCAGGAGCTCAGTGAATTCCAGCGTGGAACTGTGATAGGATGCCACCTGTGCAACAAATCCAGTCGTGAAATTTCCTCGCTCCTAAATATTCCACAGTCAACTGTCAGCTGTATTATAAGAAAATGGAAGTGTTTGGGAACGACAGCAACTCAGCCACGAAGTGGTAGGCCACGTAAACTGACGGAGCGGGGTCAGCGGATGCTGACGCGCATAGTGCGAAGAGGTCGCCAACTTTCTGCAGAGTCAATCACTACAGACCTCCAAACTTCATGTGGCCTTCAGATTAGCTCAAGAACAGTGCGCAGAGAGCTTCATGGAATGGGTTTCCATGGTCGAGCAGCTGCATCCAAGCCATACATCACCAAGTGCAATGCAAAGCGTCGGATGCGGTGGTGTAAAGCACGCCGCCACTGGACTCTAGAGCAGTGGAGACGCGTTCTCTGGCGTGACGAATCGCGCTTCTCCATCTGGCAATCTGATGGACGGGTCTGGGTTTGGCGGTTGCCAGGAGAACGGTACTTGTCTGACTGCATTGTGCCAAGTGTAAAGTTTGGTGGAGGGGGGATTATGGTGTGAGGTTGTTTTTCAGGAGCTGGGCTTGGCCCCTTAGTTCCAGTGAAAGGAACTCTGAATGCTTCAGCATACCAAGACATTTTGGACAATTCCATGCTCCCAACTTTGTGGGAACAGTTTGGAGCTGGCCCCTTCCTCTTCCAACATGACTGTGCACCAGTGCACAAAGCAAGGTCCATAAAGACATGGATGACAGAGTCTGGTGTGGATGAACTTGACTGGCCTGCACAGAGTCCTGACCTCAACCCGATAGAACACCTTTGGGATGAATTAGAGCGGAGACTGAGAGCCAGGCCTTCTCGTCCAACATCAGTGTGCGACCTCACAAATGCGCTTCTGGAAGAATGGTCAAAAATTCCCATAAACACACTCCTAAACCTTGTGGACAGCCTTCCCAGAAGAGTTGAAGCTGTTCTAGCTGCAAAGGGTGGACCGACGTCATATTGAAACCTATGGATTAGGAACGGGATGTCACTTAAGCTCATATGTGAGTCAAGGCAGGTGAGCAAATACTTTTGGCAATATAGTGTATGTATATATAGTATATATAGTATATATGTATATAGTATTTCCTGAAAGCGCGCGCCAGCGCGTTCAGGACGCTACGGAAGCCGGCAGACCAAACCAGATGAAAGTGCGCATTCAGCGTCTGCTCTGCTGATAATGCAAGCGTAGAAGAAGAAATGTGCTGTTTATCTGTGCAAAGAAAGAAACAACGAAAGAAAACTGTCTGAGGACTTCAGTGTTGAGGAAGAGCATGAGTGCTTTGCCGAGCTGAATGCGCTGGTTTGGTCTGCCGGCTTCCGTAGGCTCGTGAACGCGCATGTGCGCGCTTTCAGGAAATCCTATACACTACTGTTTATGCTCTAAAAACATTCTAAATGACTTCGTTTCGAGTAAATTCTGGATGCTACCCACTCAGGACACTTGGAATACATTGGACGAGCAGTATGGAGGAATATTGACACGTTTTTGTGGACTTTTATGGACCTTTCTGTCTCGGGCACAATAGACCTCCATTATTTGAATGTCAGCAGACAGCAAGCAGCCTCCCAGATCTCCAGATGCATTTGAGATATCAAAAAAGTACTCCAGAGTGTTGTTCAGCATGGGGGTGAGTAGAAAATGAAGGCTAATCATGTTTTGGGTGTACTATTCCTTTAAGTTTTCTGTAAAATCTATAGGAATTAATAAACGCTATGATGATTAGAAGCTAGTTTTGCACCTCTTGGTTTAAGTTCATCTTCCTCTGATTCTGAGCCATCGTCTTCTGCCACTGCAATCGGTACTGCTTTTAGAGGGTGACCTACTGAAGGGGCAGCTGCATCCTGGGCCAACAACAAATGCATGAGCGTCATGCATGTGTAAAATACATCAATAACAAAAGGAAAAATAGAAATGAACTTTGTCAGTGTTTGCACCTGCTCTGTAGCTTTGCAGTGGTGGGGTACAGCTGGAATAGGGACCAGTGTAGGCCTCTGATCCAAAAACACCTCCCGCTCACACACATAACACCAGATCCTGAAGGTTGTCAGGTTCACCGTCAGGTTGTGTTTTTTAACCTAAAGAAAAACACCATAAAATAAAATAAAACAACCTTGTAAGTTCTTGCTAAATTATTGTCATTTTTAACGATTTACATTTATGAACACCACAAATACAAACCTTTAGGTATTTTAATTTGAACTTTAAATGACAGATAAAGAAAAAGTACTGTGGCCAATAGCTGCAAATGATCAGCATAGGGATGACGCACCACAAAATGCTATATGTGCTGCAGACATGTTATTGATGCAAACTCCAAAAATAAACACTTAAAATCCTCTTGAATTGCGAAACGCTGCAAAAGAAAAATGCTGCAATCACGGAAAATAGAATTATGCAAACTGCCAATGCACACATGCACTAAAAGGCAAATCCAACAGAGAAACGCTGCAAAGACAAAGTTCTGCAGGTAAAAACTAAAGAAAAATCAATCAATTAAAAATAAAATAAAAAAGCTGTAAACTTGCAATTTTGCTTGGTCAACCTCCGAGTCCAGGTGGGACTGGACCAACAGTTAGTAATTAATGATTATCTTAAGGACAATCGTCAATATACTAGGACTGCTCCCTCCTGACTTGTGGTTAGCTCCCCCTAGTGGTCTGACACATTTCAGTTTTTTTATTTATTTTATTTTTTTTTACATTCTGTTGTTTTTGGTATCCTCAGCACTTTTCCTTGATTAATACTTTCCATTATTCTGTGATTAGCAGATTTGCTCTAATAGCATTTTTATGAAGCACTTGATTTTTGTGCTTGTGTGTTTTGTAGTTGGCATCATTAATATATCTGAAGCACCTTTGGCAGCTGATGCTGCGTGTTTGCGCTCGTAGCCACCTTTTAAAGTGGAGCATAATAGTGGATTGGAATAAAAATGTTGCATGTTTCATTTCTGATAAATATCAGAAAGGTATGACAGAAATACAGTCTTAGTTAACATATTACCACCAAAGAAGAAGTCAAAGAAAGCCACCTATCTACAATTTAACATCTGTATAAAGGGTGTAGAGGTATGAAGGACCAACTCTGCCATATTTAAAAATAAATACAGAAATAAATAAATGCTCAATAAATGTATAAGCATACAATTAATTGCCAACAAAAAAGTGAGACATAAATGTATATAACTCTTAATTAGCTTCTTTATTTATTTGCCTTTGTAATATTTACCTTATTTATTTTTCTGTCCTTTATAATCTTCAACTTTATTTTTTAATTACTTATATTTTTAAGTATTTATTTATGTGTATGTTATAATATTTTTGTCTGTTTTATTCTTCCTTTGTATTTTTTTACCTTAGTTATTTCTTCGCCGCTGTTTATTTCTCTCTGCCCTTTTTACATTTCTCTATGCATTTCTGTCTCATTATGCAAATGAGGAGGGGGGGTGTCCTAGAAAGTCAACTTCTGCTCATTGGTTGGCTTGGCGGTCCATCTTCTTAACTCACAGAGCTCAGAGTACTAAGTTAAATGTTCTCTTTTCTGTAGCTGTTGTTCAATAAAAGTGTGTTTTAAGATCATTTGAGGCGAGAACCTTATACTTTTAAGCATCACCATATGGCCCATTCACAGATTTAATGCGGAATTTAAAAGAAAATGTGACGAACTTGAGAGGACCGCGGCAACCAGAGGAGCTCCGAAGCTGACGGCAGCCAGGTCTAACCACAGCCCATCTGCAGCGGCCCTCTCTCGGAATATCCGTGTGTGAAGAATCGTTGGTGATGATGGCGATTTTTTGTTGCAGCTGCCCTCTCTCGGCATAGCCGTGTGTGAAGCGTGTTGGTTAGCATTTTACTACATCGGTCGAATCTACAGGAGGAGAGTCTGATGTCGAGTCTGAAGTCATTAGAACTTGAGTAGGGACTTTGCCAAACTTTGCCAAATACAACAAAAAATCGCCATCATAGCCTGGCTATAGACCTGGCTGCCGTCAGCTTCGGAGCTCCTCTGGTTGCCGCGGTCCTCTCAAGTTCTTCACATTTTCTTTTAAATTACGCATTAAATCTGTGAATGGGCCATATGGTGATGCTTAAAAGTATAAGGTTCTCGCCTCAAATTATCTTAAAACATACTTTAATTGAACAACAGCTACAGAAAAGAGAACATTTAACTTAGTACTCTGAGCTCTGTGAGTTAAGAAGATGGGCCGCTAAGCCAACCAATGAGCAGAAGTTGACTCTCTAGGACACCCCCCCTCCTCATTTGCATAATGAGACAGAAATGCATAGAGAAATGTAAAAAGGGCAGACAGAAATAAACAGCGGCGAAGAAATAACTAAGGTAAAAAAATACAAAGGAAGAATAAAACAGACAAAAATATTATAACATGCACATAAATAAATACTTAAAAATATAAGTAATTAAAAAATAAAGTTGAAGATTATAAAGGACAGAAAAATAATAAAGGCAAATAAATAAAGAAGCTAATTAAGAGTTATATACATTTATGTCTCACTTTTTTGTTGGCAATTAATTGTATGCTTATACATTTATTGAGCATTTATTTATTTCTGTATTTATTTTTAAATATGGCAGAGTTGGTCCTCCATATAGAGGGGTGTAGTTAGACCAAAAACTTTGGTCTAACTAACTGAGGTGGGGCTCAGTTCAAACGGCAACAGGACTGAAATTTTCAGTCTGCAAATTTACTGATTGGTAAACCAGTGGTTAATCATCTGGTGCAAGGTTGTTGTTTTTTTTGTCCTTTCATGGTTACCCACCAAAGAAAAGTACTTTATATATCTTGATTATTTTATTCTGTTCTAAAATCAAGAAATGTACAGAAAACAGTTCCCAAAACAGTTAATTTATAACTTTTATGATAAATATTCTGTATATATATATATATATATATCATATATTACTTGTAGTAAAATAAAAGATCTTGGAATTAAAAAAGGCTGCAAATCTAAACACAACACAATGCAATGAAACGTGGCGACATCGTGATTCTGTGGAGCCTCTTAGACAAAGACAATGAAGCTGGTCAGGCTTGATGGGGAGATGAACAGAGCAAAATGGCTTCTTGCATTAGAATGGCCCAGTTAAAAGCTCAATAAAATATCCTCAGGTTTGCAATATTTGTAAGAAAATGTGTAAAAAGTTAAAAAGAACTGTATTCTAAATTAAGTGCACTGTTGGCAACAGACATAAAAACATTTAAATTTCCTTAGCATCAGATGTTTTTACCTGTGCGTGTAGAGTGCTGTGATCAGCGTAGGACTCGCCGCAACCAACATATGAACAGTCACTCTAAAGAGCAGAAATAAATAATCAGACAGGATCTGACTAATTGGAACCTTTTTTCCCCAGTGATACTCAAAATACAAGATTAAGCATCTGTGCCAGAAAACAGCAGCAGTGCTCAATTACCTTTACGCATTACGCCATTATTAATTATTTAGCAAAAAAACTACCTTCCAATACAGGATAAAGTAAGTGTAACACAGGCTGCTGTTGAAGCACACATGACATAATGCAAGGCACACAGTTCCAACTTTCAAAACTAAAGAACAATCTAAAAATCTACCTGCAGACAGGCCCATAGGTTGGGTCCCCCGACTCCGCATGACTGGCAGGTTCCCTGGAAAATACAAAAAAAACAGCAGTTCAAAGGTGCTGTTTTGACACACATGCTTACTGTACAACAGCTGTGGATGGATGGATGGATGGATATTATCTTAAGCAGCAAATTGACAACAAATAGATACTAAAGAAAAAAAACACCTTAGATTTTTGGAGAAGGTCCTCCTTAGTGACCTCCCCTATTGACTCCAGGTGAGGACAAACTTCTTGCTCTGCCATCTTACTTGCTGTCTCCAACTTGATGTACCCTAACAGACATGACAAGGAAAACACATCACAACATAGGAGGTTGTTGTAACTCAGCAGGCTGTGTGCACCGACTTCATAAACACACTGCGTCTGACAGATCAGATATATAAAATATGACAACAACAAGCCTAAACCTATGTGCAGAGGATGACAGCTCAGCAAAGTGACAGGCCCTGGTGTTTACTCCCGACAGACCTCCTTTCTCCAGGGCTAACAGTTGTTATTAACGCATCATACTAACAGAATAGAAGCAGATGCCGCCGTCAAGGTGGTTATATCATCTCTGCCTAAACAAGTCGTGTTGAGAGAAAGCAGCGGATGGTGTGTTAGCTAGAAGAAGAGCCGACTAAGCGACGTTTTTTCACTCCGATCCACTAACATCCTAACTGTCCCCACCCCCATCCGCAGAGCTGAGGCGGAGCACGTAAAGAACGCGATGACGTAGCCTGCCGGAGCGGGTCAGGGGTGGATCGCAGGGGAGCTCAAATATTTTCAACTCTGAGGAGAAATTATCATTTACTGTGAGAAATAAAAGAAAATGCACTTTTAAAAAAGAAAAAGTCAATTATAACCATGTAAAGTTATACCCAATATATTTACGGAAGTCACGTAATTTTGTGCGTCGCAAAAATGTGTCCTGCTTGTGCTTTGACTGGCGATAAAAAAAAGTTCCCACTGATAGGGTTCCCCGAATATTTATGTTGGTTTGGTTATTGTCTTTCTCTAAACAGTGAAACACCAATTATGTATATTTATTTAAATAAAAAATATATTATATATTTGTGTAAACCTGTACTTTGGGGTGAAGTTGATAGAGAGAAGAATAAATCTAATGTTCTTCTCTCCATAACATTACTAAAAATCTAGCTCAGGGAAATTAAAATATGATTTTTTTATTGGATTTTTTTTTTTACTAACCCTAACCCAAACTAGCATATATTTTGCTTCTATTGCTCTTCTGTGCATCTAAACACATTCCTGTGCCATACACTACATCAGGCATCCCCAAAGTCAGAGCTTCAAGGGCCGCTGTCCTGCAGGTTTTAGAGGGTTCCCTGCTCCAGCACAGCTGATTTACATTGATAGTTGATTAACAGGCTTTTGCTGAACTGCAATCATCAGAATCAGCTGTGCTAAAGCAGAGATACCTCTAAAACCTGCAGGACAGAGACCCTCAAGGACCGACTTTGGGGAATCCTGCTATACAACAGCTATCACAATCTGTAGAGAAAACAGCTTTGTAAACAGTTTGCTTTCTATTACTTAAATCACATTTGAGAACCTGCTATGTGTTTGTTAAAGGAATAATAGAAATTCAGAACTCTGAAATATCATGAGTAAAAAAACAAAATAATATGTCCCATTTTTCCCCATACATACACTCACTGTACCATAATTTCACTATAGTAAGGCTGTTTTTGGCCACACAGAGAGAAATGGTTCAGCTTTTAATTTTACAGCGATAAAATAGCAAACATCATTTAGATTTCCATTTGCACAAGTATCTTTTTTTTTTAGCTTTTATTATTGTTACACTGTCACAAGTACAGAGCAATGAAATTTACTCTCTGCATTTAACCCATCGCCTTGGGGAGCAGTGGGCTGCATTGTGTGGCGTCCGGGGAGCAGTGTAGAGTTAAGGGTCTTGCTCAGGGACCCGGTGTCAGTAGTGGGGCTTAAACTCAAAACATCTGGATTCTATACTATCAGTATTTTATAGTTGATATAACAGTTGGTTTTTTAAACTATAAAACACATTTGGTTAAAAATTCCAGTTTTCAGTTTCCTGTAATTAATTCCAGTTCCAGCAAACATCACTCCTTTCAATATATATTAAATAATAAAAAAAAGAGTAATGTTTCACAAGTTAGGACTGCATTCTTCAGGTAAACCCTCAATGTTCTTTTGCATGCTTCATGATGGTTGCTTTCTTGTCAGGGTTAAATTTTGAGTTTGTTTGTTCATAAAGATGCAACAGTGTTTAGTTCCACTTATGGGGTCTTAAAATGTAGCTTTATTTGCATTAAGATTGTTTCCTTCCCACTGCCTCATGACGAAGTATTTTTGCTTAGTATTTATCCTACCATTGTCATCTCTAAAGCTTTAAATATGCTTTAAACATGCACACAAGATCATCATCTGGCATTGTGAACACAAATGAGACATTTAGTATTTTATATACATTTCTAGTTTTCCTCAAGGGATACTTATTCCTTGTATTTTTTTTCTCTTTTTTTTTTTTACATGTGTCTACTATATGTTTAGTTTGAGCCTGTGTCTCAGAAAAAAAACAAACAACAACAAAAAAACATTATGGTGAAATAATGACAATAAAGACACATGGTTCTGGAATTAAATACCCCATTCGTGACACAATCTTGACTAATAAAGTTGATTCTGGTAACCTTTTTTCTAATTTGAAATAATGCATGGCACGTTTTCATACGGAAATACGATTTTCGTACTAAACTGATCCCGTGTCTGTTTCTCTTAGGTCAGACTGTGATGTAGTGTCCAATAAGAACGTAATGAACTGACTCCAAATCAGCCTCCTTGACGTAGATACGTACACGCAGTCGCGGGCCAAATCTCGCGGTATTTACCCTAGCCACATCCTCCGCTCTTCCTTTCTGCCTGAACCGACATGGTGGGTACATGTTTGACTTCTCTGGCATAATGTTTTATTTCTTGTATCTGCTTTCATCCTCACCTGTGCGCCTAAAATTGTACTTTACACTTCCGATATCAAGTATTATAAACTATTTATTTAATATTACGAGTATATTGACTGTTTCTGTTGTGATATTTTTGATTAAAACTGGGTTTTAGCGGTTGAAGTGTCGCCGGTACTAGCAGCGTTGTATTTACAGGATAGGAGCTAATACGGAAAAAGCCGCGGATTCGGGATTTTTTATAATTTTGTTATCCTACTAGATATTACACAAAATTATAAAAAAAACTCTGCCGACCATTTTTATTGACCAAGCAAAAAGTATTGGGCAGCGTTTTGCTAACGGCTTTAGCCAAAAGGGCCCTAGCATTGACTTAGCATTTGCTAGCTTTATGAGGTATAGGTATGAGATAAACCCTGTTTGCAGCTTCATTTTTTAATAATTTGTAATTTCTTTTAATTTAGTAGTATATTTTTCTTCTTAATTATAGCAATTTAGTTTTGCATTTCTTTTGGCTCTTTGCTTAGGATTAGCTTAGCCTTGAATCATATTATGCTACTTTTAAGCTATCTCGTGTAGCACGTAACAATTTCAAACTAATGAAATAATTCGTGTTAACACATTCCTAAATTTGAGGACTCTGCTCCAGCACAGCTGATTCAAATTATTTTTCTCCCAGCTATCTGTGCTTCATCATGCCTTTAATCACCCTTTACTTAAGTCTGTGGATTTAGTTTATAAGTCGACACATGTGGGACAGTTGCTCTTAAGGAGCTGGATTGAAAAACTTTAGCACTGAATACAATTTTTTTTTTCGGGGACGGGGGTTGACTCTATATGTTACTGTAATTTGACTTGTCATAGATAAGCTATGACCCTAACCTTTTGTTTTGTCTTTTAAGCCTAAGGGAAAGAAGGCTAAGGGGAAGAAGGTGGCACCTGCCCCTTCCGTGGCCAAAAAACATGAGGCCAAGAAAGTAGTTAACCCCCTGTTTGAGAAGAGGCCAAAGAACTTTGGCATCGGTGAGTACTCTTTTAACCTGAAAAACATTCAATGAGTTGATGCAGATGATGTGAAAGAATATTTGCTATCTTAACATCCTTGATGATAGTTTTTCCACCAAGATCGCTGATGCACTTTAAGTACGGAGCGACTATACGGAGGAAAACTTCACTTTTAGAACATAAACAATTTGCTTTCCACAGGCCAGGATATTCAGCCAAAGCGTGACCTGACACGCTTTGTGAAATGGCCTCGTTACGTTCGCCTGCAGAGGCAACGCTCCATTCTGTACAAGCGTCTGAAGGTTCCTCCTGCGATCAACCAGTTCACCCAGGCTTTGGACCGCCAGACAGGTATGTTCCCGTGCTTTTTAATAAGGACTTTATTAAACCTGGAACCTAAGGACACACTACTGAGATGCATTGATTAGATCCTGCTGACCTCCATTCAGTGTTTCAACCCACCAGAGGATGATGCATCAGTAGTATATTGTAGTTTAGAATTCTTTGTTCTTTGCAAATGATGTGAAATATTTGCTATCTGATTGTGATGACATTTCCACCAAGATCACTGATGCATTTTGGTTTAAATGCGTTTTACCTTTGTTAGATGCTTTATTTTGTGGCTAAACATGTGTCTGCTTTGATTCAGCCACCCAGCTGTTTAAGCTGGCCCACAAGTACAGACCAGAGACCAAGCAGGAGAAGAGGAAGAGGCTGCTGGCTCGTGCTGAGCAGAAGGCAGCTGGGAAAGGAGACACTCCCACCAAGAGGCCTCCTGTCCTCCGTGCAGGTGAAGAGCACTAAACCACTGGAGTTGAGCTTAAGGACCTTCTAATAAATTGAAGTAGAATATTTTTTATATTGGAAGGTTTGACATTGAATCAGCTTTATCAAACTGGCCAGGATGCAGTGATGACCTGAATTTCTTCACCTGAAACTTGCCTTGATGCTTTATGAGCTTTTTAACCCTGAGCATTGGCCAGATATGAATATATTTTTCTTTCATGTGCTTGGAGGGTCAGATGTTAAATGTCTTTGTTTTTCCCAGGTGTGAACACCGTTACCTCTCTGGTGGAGAACAAGAAGGCTCAGCTGGTTGTAATTGCTCATGATGTGGATCCAATTGAGGTAAGGCTGAGAATTAAAACTGAGCTAACTAGCTGAGCTTTAAGGGGGTCACTGGCAATGATGTCTGAATTTCTTCACCTGAATCCTTTTGTGTGGATCAAAACACGAGCTTTTTAACCCTGAGCAGTGACCACCTAAAGACTTGTATTCATTTAGTAGACTTTATCTAGCCCTACCTGCGTGTTTTTTGCATTTTTTCTAACAGTTTTTGTCATGCTTTTACAGCTTGTGGTTTTCCTCCCTGCTCTGTGCCGCAAGATGGGCGTCCCATACTGCATTGTAAAGGGCAAGGCCAGACTGGGAAGACTGGTGCACAGGAAAACATGCACTTCATTCGCTTTCACACAGGTTAACCCGTAAGTGTCAAAAGAATGAACTGTTTCTAGTTTGGGAAGTTTCTAATACAAAAACGGTTTAAACTGTCCCAAAACCCTCTACACGCTGTGTATGGTTAACTGTATTTTGTGTTAACATGAAGAGCAATGTACCACTGTAGTAGATGTGGCATTTAAGGCTTTGTGTTTATTGAGTTTTTTTTCTCTTTTTTTCTTCACAGTGAGGATAAAGGTGCACTGGCTAAACTTGTTGAAGCCATCAAGACCAACTACAATGACAGATATGAAGAGGTAAGCTTTAATGTTTGGTGTCTTTACTTTAGAAATATTTTTGAAGATGAGAGCTTATTTTAAACGACCTGCATTTGTTTTACAGATTCGTCGTCACTGGGGAGGTGGTATCCTGGGTCCCAAATCCACAGCCCGCTTTACTAAGCTGGAGAAGGCTAAGGCCAAGGAACTGGCAACCAAGCTTGGTTAAAGTATTTGGAATAAAAATGTATGTTCTAATACATGTGAATTTGTGTTATTTAATCCTGGTCAGTGCTGCATACAAAGAATAGAAAATATCAGCAGAGCCGTTAACCAAGAGATTTTAAAGAAGCATCTAAGATCTGGTTTGGAAATTGTTTTTTTTTTTATTATACATTTAATGAGCTGTTTAAGGCCTAAATGTTTGACATTGCCAAGAAAAGCTAGACCACTAAAAAAGTTGCAAAAATCGAAAACACCTGGGTTTATAACAGAATTTTAATAAACTCAACGAAAGCCCAGAAGATGGTGTTGATGGTGAAAAGGAAGTATACAAATGCATCAGAAAATAGCTTAGATAAGGTAAAAGAAAATTCCATGAGCAATAAGAACAATAGGCTCTGGCAAAAAAAACTTGGGAGCACAGTATACTTGATCAAACTGAAATAGACCTTGACAATATTACTTCTCACTATTGTAAATTTTTAACTCTGAATCAATGCAACAATGAACTCTGAAGATAAACCATCAACATCCTTTTCTAGACGTACGTTCAGTCATTTTAGGTTTATAAGAGTACTTGGGCAATAAATTAAAAAAATGTCAATAAAAACCAAACTTACAAAAACAGCCATAGTGTTTGTGAGCTAACATGAGCAGAGAAGGAAAAACTGGAGCTGGGGTAGTTCTCTCCATAAATCTTACTTTCCAAACCAATTTATTTTAACATTGGTGAAATGGTTGAATTTTTAACAATTGAAATATGTAATGGAATTATATATTTGAAGCTCTGAATTGCTCACTAGATTCAGGCAGTTAAAACATTTGCTGAAATTATGGAAAAAGGTTTACTTCCAACCACTATTGGTTATTCTGCGGCGATGCCAATACTGAATCCCAACAGACTAATACATTACTTTTCTAATGCTATGTATAGTTTGACCCTCTGTCCCGCAATAAACCCAGGAGATATGTCACACAATGGCAATATCTTCAGTAATAATATGGAGGTTCAAGAAACCAGTGGTTTGATATGACATCACTGATCATTTGCCTGTATTCACTGCGTGACTGAAAACTATGTATCAAAGGATAGGAAAGTAACTCCCAAAAGAACTGAGAAAACTATCAATGCATTTGGATCAGTAACCTCTGAAACAAATGTAGATTGTATATATGATCTGTTTCTCTGTATAATTTTCACTGTCCAGTTAAACACTTTATAGGAAAAAAGCCCTTTGCTTAAAAAAGGAATACTGAATGCCTGTAAAAGAAAAATATATATATATCAAACTCAAAACTAAAGATACAAAAATTTATAAACATGGAAATCTATATTTAGATCTCAACAGTTATATTTAAGCAAATCCTTTACAAAACAAATTTCAAGAAGATGTGGACCAGCAAAAATTGAGTATCAATTATTTTTGCAACATAAATTGAGAAATGTACAAATTGACCAAAATAGTTGACGTCAATTGATTCTTAGTAAATGTTGGCCCAGAATTTTTTGCTAAGATTCCTGACTAATCCAAAAACCAAGGCATTATGTTAAAAAAAAATCCTTAATGTTTTTCACTTCAACAATTGAACAAGTGAAAACTGTTTTGAATTGTAAAATTAAATATTCCATGGGTGGTCATATCAATATGCCTCTAATTAAGACAGTGATAAATTAAATGTCAAAGTAATACCACTATTCAAAAGATGGGGATAAACACAGTTTCACAAATTATAGACAATTTTCATTGCGGCATCAGGTTTCATGTAGAAATCATTTTTGGTTTGATTAGATAAGATGTTTAACAAACATGAGACATTGAAAGCCAATATGGCTTTAGATCTAAAAGAACCACTGCTATGGCAATACTTGAAGCAGTGGAAGAAAGTAATAATGCAGTGGTCCAATATAAGCATGCTGTGAGCATCTTTATTGATAAAAAAAAAGCATTTTACACAATTACTAAGTCTCGATAAGAAAACTTGGAATAAGATAAGGTGGAAAATGAAAAGAAATCTGACTGGAAGAATGCACTATGTAAAAATTGGTGAATCCTCATCTGAACTTCTTTCTATTACCTGTGGCGTTCCCCAGAGTTCAGTATTGAGTCCAACGTTTTTCAATCTTTATATAAATTATATATTTAACGATCACAGAAATTAAAACTAATTCTGTTTGCTGATGAATTAATTATTTAGATTAATCGATTCTTGAAATAATCAGCAACTACTTTGGTAATCGATGAATTTTTAACTGGAGCATAAAGACTCTTAAACATGTCTTAAGCTGACAGAACGACCCACATTGAGCAGTAATTATACAAAAAATTTTTATACCCAAGCAACAGAAAAGGTTTTGTCTGTCAGTATGGTCTATCTAGAACTCAAGTGGAAAAGTTTCAGTTTCACCTGGTTTAATTTCCTGAAAAACATCTTTAAAGAATCTTTGGCTATTCAATTATTAATTGACAGATTAATCAATTTGCTGAATAATTGTTAGTTGCAGAATGGATGGATGCAAACAAAATATTGACAAATCTAAATGAAGCAAAAGTAAATAGTTTTGTTAATCAAAAAAACAATCAAGGAGCCTCTTAATAAAGATAAAGCCAAAAAATACATTGATCATATATTGCTCTTTGGTTGTCCCCTATCGAGGGATGGGGTAATAACTACAAATGTTGAATTAATCCACTATTTCTATTGCGAAAACTGGTACAACAGATCATCCATCAGGATGTTTTTTTTTAGAAATGTATGTTTTTCTTCTGTGATAATCTGCTAAAAAAATAATATTAAATAAAATCAAAACCTGGAACAAACTCACTTATCCAGTGATTTGAGGTTGTTTACACTGGGATTAAGCCGGTCTACAAATCTAGTAAAATCTGATGCGACAAAGCTCTCAGATTGTACATTTTGAACACTTGTGAAAATAATGACAATTGTGAATATTACATTTTTTTTATCCACATGATAAGTAGTACTGAATTATCAGTTTCTCACCGTTGCTACTTTAGAAAAAGATGCTCGACTAAAAAAAGTCCAGGGGCTGGTTCCATTTTTTGTAGCTTAGATCTGTGATTTTCAAAATGACCACTGATTGGGATGGCTCAGTACTTTGGGAGGAAAAAAAAGATACTTTCAAATATTCTTTTAATAAACCTGCAATATATCCCTTTTCCATGAAAAACTATGGATTTAAACATACACTTTGAGACTCTTCCTCTTTGTATGTAAGACATGACTCACCTTGGCTCACAGGGGACTGAAATGTCTACAATAACGTATGAATTCGACTTAACTTAAAAAGGTACCTTTAAAAACATGGAGTACACCTATATGTGGACGGTGATGTGGGGCACAGACAATATAAAGAAAAATATTGTAGTTTATATGCAAACTGATGACTTTTCTATACATATTTTGTAGGTTATTTGATTGAAGATGGGCTCCCTGAGGAGAGGCCAATACTGTTTGGAGGGGAGGAATATGGAATCCCTTCTATTGATGAGCTAAATGAGACACCAGCTCATGTCATGTGCAAAAATGCTTGTGCATGTGCAAACATGGGAGCTGGTGGGTTAAACTTCAAAATCAATGTGAGCAATATTGTTTATTGCACTTTGTGGTGTTTAATAATTTCATCCACACTGTCCATTTCCTTATCTCCAAGCTAACAGACATGTTTGGTCTGCAAATAATCTGTTGTGACTCTTAAAGGAGGCGGTCGCATTTTCCAGCTGCTCTGCAACTCCCTGCCTGTCTCTGCTTTTCTGAGCTCTCTCTTCATATCACCCAAATTCAAACAATGGATCTGGTCAGCTGGTCTCTCAATGTAATTGATACACTTTTCTATAATGGAAGACAGGGAAAGGGGGACCAGTCCTGTCCTGCCGGGACATACTTCATGGAATACACCATGGACTCCTGGAAGGCTTGGAAGATGTGTGTTTTAAAATGTTGTCAGTGGAGGATGCTGAGTGCGATTGAACGCAGGCTGGCTGCGGTGGTTGAACTCAAATGTGAGATGTGATAATATCTTGGATTTGCATGCCCTTTTTAAGGCGGAAAAGCCCAACAAATTCGGAATATTGGATTCGCCATGTGGAGCCAGCAAGAAAACAAATTGCAAATTGAAGTTGACAATAAAGAAATTGATTAATCGATTGAGATAAACTGCAACGCCAGTTATCCAATTGGATGTTATTGAAAGTTTTGACCAACTGGTGAAATTATCCTATGATGGACGTTATCGATATAATGGAATAACAATGAATTCAAGTCAATATAAAGTTTATTTAGTGTCTTATTTTTTTGGATAATCCTCGTTTGAATTTGACCTTTGCACCTCAGGGTTACATTTAGGGAAATATTTTAAAATGTCCCAAAAAGTCTTGTAAACAGGCTACCAGAATTTGCAGAAGCTCTGCTCGTTCTTTTTAACTAACCCGCTAATAATGCAGAGTTTGCAGTTTTACTATTTTGTAGATTTCAGCAGAAACTCCTTTGTTTATAAGGTATTTATTTGTATTTTTAGAGACACAAACAACACAGACATAAATGAATCAACATTTTCAAGAAATATTATATTTTAATCTTCTTGATGAACTTGGTATACCACATGTAGGAAGTAGCTGCACACAATCCATACCTGGAAAAGCAGGGGAATATTATTCAATTAATAATTAAACTTTGAAGTTTTTAAAGCTAAATAAACAAGCTATAACTCACCAAGTTATGATGTACTGCATGTGTTCATTCCTCAGTGTGACTCTGGTCTGTCCCCCAACTGGTCCTCCTGGAATCGTGCTCTCTGCCATTAAAAGCACAAAACATTTGGATTGGTAATCAGAGGTCCTCTGATTATGAACCGCCTCTCAGTGAGCTTCTGTCCTTACGGAAGTCGGCGTCGATTAAGATGGGAGCAGCTCCAGTGATGCGAGACATGGCCTCCAAGTCACGGTAATGCCAACGGTTTCTCTCTTCGTCGTTGTTCGGAACAAACGGTTTACGAGGTTCTGTAAGCCTGACGACCCCCACCACTTCCACCTCATCCTCCACCTGCAGGTAGTGAGGCAAACAAAGAAGGGTGAAGGGTGTTACCTGGTTGATATCTGAAGATGTCCTTTTTTCAGAGCAGTGAGCCTCAGATGGGTAACAGCCACTTTAAATCTCTAACCTGCCCCTTCATTCTGGTCTCCGGTCGTATTTTCTGCCTTGGTACGTATCCTCTGTTGACCAGTATTTTGATGCTGCAGGGACATGAGGGACATATGACAGCAGTTTGATCCAGTGTCTTGCGATAAAACCTTAATGATTCTCTTACCCAAGGTCAGAGCAGTGAAAAGGTGTGATAACATTAGCTCCAATCTCTCCACTAGAGGACAGACTCCCTGCCTCTCTAGCTTCTTTCTCTGGATCGACAGGTGAGCGGGGCATGATGTAGAGCTCCTGAGAGTGATCGTAGTGCCCGCGAACTTTCACCCTTCTGTACTCCAGCTTGTTCACTTCAACAGGACTAAAATCCAGAAAGACAGAAGGGAAGAACACCTGCTCAAAAACGTATAGAGTTCACAAAGAAGAAGACAGTCTGGTTAGCAGCCCAATTAAAGAAGCACTGAAGAAAATGTATTTATTACAGCAGCATAATTTTACATTAAGAAGTTGAAGCACTCATATCCAGTGGAAGAAAAACATCACAGGATTTGCTGATGGAGAACACATGGTTTTATACGTTTCTTATTTCTTTTTGGAAACACAGCTTTGGATTGGGGTTATGAATGACAAACTGCTATACTGAACCCGGTAAACTGATCACCAGATGTCCAGTATGACAAATACTGTTGTTACTGTAGGAGATCTAGAAAAAAATTTAAAACAACAAATTTTGGACAACTGGGATGCTGCGGAGGGACAATGAGAGACAGACAGCTTTTGGAACTGAGTTTTGTGACTCAATTTAACATTTTAACTTTACATCGTACTCCCCTCTTATCAGAGCAAACTTCATCACCTTTCACTGGCCTCGCCAAATGAAAAATCGTTCCACAGTATTTGTTGTAGCTGTTTCATATACTTTAACAATAGTTTCCAACTTATTTTATATAAAAAATCCTATACCTCTTAAGGTTTTAGCTTAATTCACAGCTTGGTCTTGAAGCTGTACCAGCCAAATGTGGGACATTGTTACGGTTTGTGGAATAGCAGGACAGAAGTGAGAAATGCAGGACTGTACAGCGCAAATCAGGACATCTGGTCACCCTAGTTGTAGCTGACACATAAAGTTTATACATAGAAAAACAAAACAAAATATTTTGTTCTTTCAAAGTGGCTTTATTTTTCATTCCATTTTAACACTCACAGTCTGCTTACAAAATATTCTTAAAAAAGGAGGAAAAAATATATGCCTATCTCTTAGTTCTAGAGTTATACTTTGTCCTCCAGCTGGGTAAGAAAGTAGTAATTCATATTGGCATGGTGGTCACAGGGCTTTTTTTCATATTAACTGTCACTTTTTTTTTTTTTTTCATTAAATTAAAAAAACCCACATCTATAAAAAAAATAACAAAAATAGAATGATTAAAAATGTGCTTTTTTAACCCATAGCTTGTAGAAGTTATGAGAAGAGACTAAATTTTATTGATCTCACATCGGAGAAATTTACCTCTGCGTTTAACCCGTCCCTTTGGGAAGCATCGAGAAGCGATTGTGTGGCGCCCGGGGAGCAGTGTGGGGTTAAGGGTCTTTCTCAGAGCCCCAGAGAGCAGGCTGTGGGGATCGAACTGGCAACTTTCTCAGCACAAGCCACTGCTCTAGCCACTAGGCCAACACTCTCCTTATCCCAGTATGACTTGCTGTGTAACCCTTTTTGCATGGGAAAATTCAGCTACTTACTCAGGAGGTAGGGGGACAGGCTCCGCTGTGGTCAAACGTTTCAGCTCATCAATGAGTCCCATCTTCCATTGGCGTCTTTTTACCTTCACAAAAAAAAAAACCCCAAAAAATCATCAGGACCAATCCAGAAAACAAAGAACAAAAGAGGATGAACTCTGTAAAGAAGCAGTACCTGCCATGTTCCCAGACCAAAGGTGGTCACAGGGATGAGCAGCAGGAACCACTTGAGAAAGGAGTCCTCACCTTTTTCTGCATTGGATGCTGTAGAACTGCATCGTCGCCCAAAAATAATAAAACTACCTAAAGATTTACAGCACAAAAATGAATAAACAAATCTAACTTTTTATGCTGAAACAAAATCAATACAAAAAATGATTACATTAGATAATTGTTTGAATAAAGAGCAGAATGAATGGCTATAAATTTAACTAAACCGGCAAATTATTAAAAAATCTTAATAATTTAATAGAACAAATAAATGTAAATGCATCAAAAGATGCTCAGTGGGGTTTTACCTGCTGAACTACTCACCGTCTAGGCGTCTAAAGAGAGCTGGGACGAAGGGGATCCTCTGGATGTTAGTGGCAGGAGTCTGTAGTGATAAAAAATAGACTAAACTCATTATATTCTCACTTTCTCCAGAGATTAAAGTCTTAAAACATAAAACTTGCCTGCTTCCTTAATGTCGGAAGAAGCCTACTGGAATAAGCCAGCAGGGTTTTCAGGGAAGCCATGTCGAGTCAAAACATTGATGGAAAGTAGCTACATAACTGACTTGTTACTTCCTGTTAGGACATACAGAGGGGGAATGTTTTTGGTGTTACTCCTTCCGGGGTAAACGTCATTCCGCCCTGTTTGTTTTTAACCCACGTGCGTACTGAAATGTTCTGATCTGAATTTTATCCAGATATTTTTCACTGGCTGTGTTCGGTTCTAACATGGACCTCGCTTCAAAGGACTCCTATATTCAGAAACTTGCCAGTAAAGTTATTTCCCAGCGAGAAAATGAGCCAAAGAAGAAGATATCATTTGGTAAAGGTTAGCATTTCTGCTCTAAAGTGGCATATAAGTAGCCCTTTGCGTATCATACCCAATCGATTACGACTGTTTGACAAAAGTGGCTCTATTATAGAAAAAAGTATAAAGTAAAATATTTTGAGCTTTAAAAATAATAGCTTTATATGTTTTACATTTTTTGTATATCTGCAACAAGCTAACTCACTGTTTGCAAACCAATATTATTCATAGATATCTGAAAAATGATGTCTTCTGTTTATGCACATAATGCACTTTGTGTTTATTAATTTAAAAGGGATTCATTGTATATTTTTCTGTATAAAAATTGTCTTGTTAAAGTTTTTCATTTAACGACAAACTTAATTTTTTTGTGTTTCTCCACTTTAAAACTGGGTTAAGTCTGTAGTTGAAAATGTCTTAGATTTATTGAACAACAATTAGAAAAAAAAAAAAAATTACATGGTAGTTATGGGATAGTGATTGTTTTTCTCTGATTAGTTCCTTTCAAGGGTAAAAGCGATGCAGATCTTCCAGGCAAGAAGAAAAAGAAATTAAAAAAGAAGAATTTGAAGGAGAATGGCAAAGCAGAGACTCTCAAACCCCAACAGAAGCCTCGTGCTTCTCCAGCTGCACAGAAAAACCTTGAAAAAACAAAAGCAACCCTTCAAAGTTTGAACGGAGCCACTTTGCAGATACCTAAAGGTACGGTATAAATGCATATTTCAGACATTATTTAAATAACTCCTCATCTAACTTGGTCTTAATTTGCTAAATTAAGGAGGTAATGCAGAGCCAAGCTTCTCCACTGTGGATGTATTGCGTAAAAGGCTGCATGAGAAGATTGAAGAGTCCAGAGGACAGGTATGTATTCCTGAATTCAGCTTAAAAGCTAAGTGAAGTAATACATTATTTAATTTAAAGGTTGTTCTCAAACAAAGAAAAGCACACAGATGCTGTGTGTAGAGTGTAGACAGAAGTGAAATAAGACGATTACAACAGTTCCTATTGGCTGGTGAAATGGATTTGGCATTAAGTATTTAGATTTTGGGTGTTTTGATTGACTATTCCCTCTCCTTCCCTCAATAGATCCAGTTTAACTCCTGCTGTAAAGCTCGCTTTAAAGGTGCTCTACCTGATTCTGCACAGTTTTAAACCATGGGTGAAGAGAACAGTTTAGTTTTGATGTGTAAGCCCCGCCCCTAACCTTCTCCCATTGAGAAACTTTCCTCCCACTCCTCATGCATGTTATAATGCACACATCTTTTAATAAAAGTAATGAAAACATGCCTGTCTAGGAGCACTGCAGCCAGTCCCCCAAAGCTCTCCACTGAGTAGGCTGGTCCCATATTTATACAAGCTTTGATCCTTCGTTGATTATTCTCGACTTTCAACTCTCTTTTCTTCCTCCATTTTGACCCTTTCGGCTGTTTTGCTGTATATGCAGTGACAGCCAGTGGGTGTATCACAACTTTCCCTTCATTGGCCGCCACATTTCTCTGTTTAGAAGACGTACGGTGGAAGAGCTTCGAGAAAAGACACTCCTCGTTGGCAAACGCTCTTAGTGGCTGGTTAAAAACCAGAAGCTTTGCAGAATGAATCCCATTGACAGAGAAAACTGTTAGAAACCTGCGCTAACAACACCTGGATTCCTATATATGCACAATTAGTGACTTATTTTAATTTAATGACTTCTGCCACACAATAGAGACATTAAATTAAAATCAGATACAGGCCCTTTAAGTTGGATTGTCGATAGACGTTCTCTCTATGGTTCACAAGTAGTTGTCCTCCATATTGTTCTCCTAATCTGCTGTTTAAATTGGAATTGATGCTTCAACAATCAGTTTTTCATCTGGAGAAGCTCCTTCAGAGGATTTTATTCCATTAGAGTCGATTAGGAGACCAGGGGAAAGTACCCAAGACAATTATGAACCAATTAAAACAAGGTTTTCCTTTGAGCCTTTCCAAATATTTTTAGTTCTTTGAAAAAACACTTGCCCCCCCCTTGTTTCACTCTTAGTTGTCTCAGATTCTCAAATAAATTCTTAAAATCCAACTAATAAATTAGTCATATTGTATTTATAAATACCAAGACTTTTTGCAGTTAAAATTGTTATTTTAAAGAATGAAAGAAACTTTAACCAAATAAATGACTGTGAGCAAAAAAAATCACCAGTGTTTTTCTGGGTTTATATGATTCCAGTGTGTTAGAGTTGAAGGTAATGAACTGGTGTTTGGATTATATCCTTCAGGGTAGTGAGCAAAATTCATGCTTCAATAAGTCAGCAGCAAATCATCCTGATGCTGCAAAGGACACATCAGCACCACCATCAATATAATGTCCTACAACCTGAAACAATCTAGCTTTTCAAAAAGTCTAGCAAAGCTGCAGTGTCTCATTATTCCATCGTAATAACATGATGCAACATTGATTTGAAGTATTTTGCACATATCCATCTCAAAACGTAAGTTAATAACTTAACCGCAGGACTATGTAGTCATTCCCACCTTTAGGATAGTCACTTCGGTCGTACCATAAGAGGCAGGAGGGGTCTTCCAACAGCACCGTTCTTTTACTAGAGTAATAACATTTCTCTGTCTTTCAATAGGGAGCTCCAAAGGATGCATTATCAGAGGCTGTCATGGCAAAGCGTGCAAAGCGAAAAATGGAAAGGGAACGTAAGAAGAGGAAGAGGAAAGAATTTCTGATAAAGAAACTAGCAGAGCAAAGCGCTCAGGAACAACCTGCAGAGATAAAAGAAGAAACAGTTGCTCCTGCCTCTGAGAAAAGAGTCAAAGCGGCCGTTATCTTTAACAAAGTAGAGACGGTGGACAAGGCGTATGAAACTAGTATACAGGCAAAAATTAAAAGGAAAAAGAGCGAGAAAGGTAAGATAACGCCACTGACTGGGAAGAACTACAAACAACTTCTGAGCCGAGTGGAAGCTCGCAAAGAGAAGTTGGAGAAGCTGAGGGAGAAGGATGAGACCAAGGCTTCGGAGATGGAGAAGAAGATCAAATGGACCAACATGCTCTATAAGGCAGAGGGCATCAAAATCAAGGATGATGAAGATCAGCTACGTGCTTCTTTGAAGAGGAAAGAAAAGAGGCGTGAGCAGAGGAAGAAGAAGTGGGAGCATCGGAGCGAGAACGTGATTGAAAAGATGCAGCAAAGACAGGATAAGAGGAAGAAGAACCTCCAGAGACGTAAGAAGGCTAAAATAGAGAAGAAGAAGGACAGAGCCCGGAAGAAGGGAAGAATCCTACCTGAGGATTTAAAGAAAGCCGCAGTTTAGGGGGAGAGAATTTTCCTTATCCTGTGGATTTCTTTATATGAAAGGTTGTTTTTTACATGAAATAAAACTACATCCTGTCATACAAACTGTTTCATAATTAAGCTGAAAATTTTGCTTAGATCTGATATGAGTGATATTCTGCTGTGAAATGTGTTTATTTTAACAAAAGTAAAGAACTTTATCATCTAGTTTAAACCTCTGGTTTTTGTTTGTTAAAATGCATATAGATACTGAATATTTTACATTTATTTAAAGGTATTACGTAACAAAACTTAAGAGAGTTATTTAGCACATAGTTTAAAATTAGCTGGCTACTTTTCTATCAATTTGGATTGTTGATTATATAGTTTTATTTTAAGATTCTCCTTGAAACAAATGTGCTCAAATCTGAACTTCTCAGAAGCTCGTACCATTAAGGCAGCTCAACCCAGCAGGGTTACTCCTAGTCTTTAACTAATCCACAGCAATCATGATTGACCAGCTTTGGCTGATCATAGAGTAGAATCCTAGTACCCCTGACTCCAGGGGGCGTTGCTACATCCCGATCAGGGGGGGGCTTCCCCGCCCCCCCCCCCCCCCCCCCCCCCCCCCCCCCCCCCCCCCCCGTACCAAAAGCTGTGTTAGATTTTGGCGGCTGCATCCTCTGAAGGACCCAGCCTACTGGATGCTGGAAGAGTTTGGCTATAGATTAAAACAGGTCCAGCCTTCCCTAGCTGTCACCAGCCATCACTCAGTGTAAGCTCTGTCACCTAGCAACCATGACAGTTGACTCACAAAGCAGGCGGAGAATACAGGTGCTGGTCATAAAATTAGAATATCATGAAAAAGTAGATTGATTTCAGTAATTCCATTTAAAAAGTGAAACTTGTATATTATATTCATACATTACATACAAACTCATATATTTCAGATGTTTATTTTGTTTAATTTTGATGATTACAAATGACAACAAATGAAAATCTCAAATTCATCATATCAGAAAATTAGAATATTACTGAAGACCAATAAAAACAAAGGATTTATAGAAATGTTGGCCAACTGAAAAGTATGAACATGAAAAGTATGAGCATGTACAGCACTCAGTATTTAGTTGGGCCTCCTTTGGCCTGTATTACTGCAGCAATGCGGCGTGGCATGGAGTCGATCAGTCTGTGGCACTGCTCAGGTGTTATGATAGCCCAGGTTGCTCTAATAGTGGCTTTTAGCTCTTCTGAATTGTTGGGTCTGGTGTATTGCATCTTCTTCTTCACAATACCCCATAGATTTTCTATGGGGTTAAGGTCAGGAGAGTTTGCTGGCCAATTAAGAACAGGGATACCATGGTCCTTCAACCAGGTACTGGTAGCTTTGGCACTGTGTGCAGGTGCCAAGTCCTGTTGGAAAATGAAATCTGCATCTCCAAAAAGTTGGTCAGCTGCAGGAAGCATGAAGTGCTCTAAAACTTCCTGGTATGTGGCTGCGTTGACCCTGGACCTCAGAAAACACAATGGACCAACACCAGCAGATGACATGGCACCCCAAACCATCACTGACTGTGGAAACTTTACACTGGACTTCAAGCAACGTGGATGAAGTGCCTCTCTTCTTTTCCTCCAGACTCTGGGACCTTGATTTCCAAAGGAAATGCAAAATTTACTTTCATCAGAGAACATGACTTTGGACCACTCACCAGCAGTCCAGTCCTGTTTCTCTTTAGCCCAGGCAAGACGCTTCTGACGCTGTCTGTGGTTCAAGAGTGGCTTGACACAAGGAATGCGACAGCAGAAACCCATGTCTTTCATACGTCTGTGTGTGGTGGTTCTTGAAGCACTCACTCCAGCTGCAGTCCACTCTTTGTGAATCTCCCCCACATTTTTGAAGGGGTTTTGTTTCACAATCCTCTCCAGGGTGCGGTTATCTCTCTTGCTTGTACACTTTTTTCGACCACATCTTTTCCTTCCCTTCGCCTCTCTATTAATGTGCTTGGACACTGAGCTCTGTGAACAGCCAGCCTCTTTAGCGATGACCTTTTGTGTCTTGCCCTCCTTGTGCAAGGTGTCGATGGTCGTCTTTTGGACAACTGTCAAGTCAGCAGTCTTCCCCATGATTGTGTAGCCTATAGAACTAGACTGAAAGACCATTTAAAGGCTTTTGCAGGTGGTTTGAGTTAATTAGCTGATTAGAGTGTGGCACCAGGGGCCATCAATTTTGAACCTTTTCACAATATTCAAATTTTCTGATATGATGAATTTGAGATTTTCATTTGTTGTCATTTGTAATCATCAAAATTAAACAAAATAAACATCTGAAATATATGAGTTTGTATGTAATGTATGAATATAATATACAAGTTTCACTTTTTAAATGGAATTACTGAAATCAATCTACTTTTTCATGATATTCTAATTTTATGACCAGCACCTGTAGATGCCAAACTTCTCACTACTGTTCTATAAGCTAATTTCATTTCTGAGGATCTTTAGCAGCCATACTGTCAACGCATATATCAGATTTGTACAGATATGACACTGTACAGATATCTGCATCAGATAGAAGATGGGATAATGGATGATCGATCAAATAAAATCCCAGAGGCATTGGAGTGTCTGCGATTTAATTTTTATTTTTTATAAGCTTATATAGCAAATGCAATAAATCCCCACCCAAATCAATATTCAAACGCTGTATGTGCTTGTCAGCCAAACCCATTTGCAGAGGGACAGATAAAACCTTTCAGTTCATTCATCCCTGCACCCACCAGACTCTACTATGCGACACTACATGACAATAAGTAGTGCGATGTGTAATGTGCAATTACTACTTAATACCCTGTGCAATAACCTGTATCTTTATATTTGATACCCAGTGCAATAGCTATATAGATAAATAGCCATCTGTATCAATACCCTGTACAATAATCCTTAAAAAAACATCAGCTGTAATATAGATATGTGGATGCGTATACTGTAAATAGCTCCATGCACATTTTCTTCCTTTGGCATCTTCTTTTTGGCTATTTGAGGTAATTTAATGAGTACATTTTTCAATTGTGAGATCAATAAAGTCATTCACTCAGCTGATGGACACTGATGGAAAACCCAACAGACTGTTTTTAGAGAGCCTTTTGTATCTCTGCTTCTTTCTGCATGTCTGCTTCTGTCTCCTTGAACCCACTGATCTCTTTATTCACTGGATTGCTGATGGTCCGTTGGTAGTACGGGGTTGAATGAAGCCATCGGCCGCCATATTGGTACTCCCTAGTTAGACCGGTCGCAATGTACACATTAAATGCGCTACACCGACGGACATCTTTTCAGGGGGGCTTAAGACTTTTAAAATAAAGACGAATTCACTTGACACAGACTTGCTGTTTCATAGCATACGTAGATTAGTGTAACTTAAAATAAAACAAATGAGCACATCACATTTATAGTCATGAAGTCAATGAAGTCTGAATCATGTAACAACATACAAATCCATCATGGAGGATAATAATACAGATGTGCCAAATTGATGATGTACATGTAATATGCATGTATTGATTATATTGTTAGGGTAATTACATATTAAATATGATTTCAAGAATTCACATCAAGACTGAAAAAATTTACATGTCAGTTAATGCTATAGTATTTTCCTATTTGCAAATTGTGCATGAATGTTGCCATATACTTTTATGCTGTGCATGTGCATTAGCCATTAAAATGTTTGAGTTGCTATTTTTCTGTCAATATCACATGCAATATATTTCAGCACATGACTTTTTCAAATGAGAAATACAACAAACACTACAAAAATGACAGCGTCATCCAGTTAATAAAAAAATTCCTACATTGACTTTTTACAGTGAATTACTTTATATTTACTCTACTTTCTATTTTCTAACTTTAGACACAATGTCAATGGTTAACTGCTTGCTTTTTCAGCCAAATGCTACACACGTAGGCATATTTACTGAGCATCTCAGTGGTAGTGGGGAGTACTTCACTTTTTTCAGGCTATCAGAAATCCAGGGAATAAATAGAGATCAGTGCTTGAACCCCAGTCGGCTTCAGCAGATGGACGCTCACACTGAGCCTGGTTCTGCTGGAGGGTTCTTCCTGTTAAAAGGGAGTTTTTCCTCTCCACTGTCGCTACAAGCATGCTTGGTGTGACGATTGCTTTGAGTCAATGAGCAGATGCAATCAACTGGTTTTCCTCAGATAGAAAACTTTGAATCAATTTGACTACGTATATGATCTGGTTGAATTGTTTAGTGCCTTGAGATGACTTTTGTTATGAATTGGCGCTATACAAATAGACTGAATTGAATTGAATCCCCACCAAACAGCGTACATGAAGCTGCCGGCCAATATCCCAATGACCATACATAATTTTCTGTGATACATTTAGGGCCAACATGCGGTTCTAGGATCTGGTATATGTATAGGCCAGTGAGGTCCTTGATAACCTCTATTGCCCATAATTGTCATCATGATCCTAATAACCTTTTTATTTTAATAACCATATTTTTATTTTAAGAATTTTTTACTTTTTTTTTAATTTTCTCATATTTAAATATACAAGAAACAGGTGATGTATTAGATCATTCATTATAAAGGAGGTAAAAATATACAGAAAAGCTAATGTGTATGTCAAAAAGGAAGAAGAAAAAAATAAGTCTATATTCAAAACTATTAAACTTTTCAAGAACATTCTTTGTTTTAAATGCTTTTTGTGTTAAAATTCCTTTATTGTGAAGTTTTGTCTAAGTTCTTTTTAGGTTCTTCAATCAAAGAGCGCGTCATCGTTTCTCGAGAAGCTGATTGTTTGCTCGGTAGAGCGTCTTCTTTGATTCAGATCATTCCTAAAAGTCCCGAAGCAGGTTAGCCGTTAATATCACGTTACCATGGTGACCAGCCTCATTTAGAAGGAATCCAGCTTCCTGGTACCGGAAAGTCAAGTATGACATTAATTAACCGAAAGTTTTTTAATAAACTTTATTAGAAAATGCTTTATAATACAGAAAGAAGTACAAATTCCAGTGAATAATCGCCAGGGGTTTGAGCAAAAAGTAATAAATCAATAAAAAGTAACTGAATAAAAGTAAAAATAGCAATAGTAAATAGATGCATGTAAAGGGATTACGTAAATACTTTAAATTTAGAGTATAAAGATAAAGTTTTAAAAGCCTTTTTGTTATTGGAAGAGGAAATGCAGAAAAATAAGTTGTTGCTTCCTTTGTGTTTTGCACCTCAGGGCCACCGTAGTTTAGTCATAAGAATTTTAAATTTATGGATATAAAACGTGGCCAACAGTAGCAAAAGATTAAATAAAAAGAAATTGGTCAGAAAGTTCTTTTTTATATTTTGTGATTCCACATAAAAAATCTTTGAAATAAAGTTCAAATTTTTCATAAATATTGTCCAGAATGAAGCGAGACACCTGGTGTGTTATCTGGTCTGGTTCTGCTGCGCGCGCCCATTGATGCACGGCGCATGCATGTTCTGGCCCCGCCCACACCGGAAGTAAATGAAAACAAGAAGGTCGAGAAAAAAAAGTTGCTGACTCTGCTGCATTTTTTCAACTCGCATGACTTTCTCATAAAGTTTGAGTCGCTCATTAAGTGACAGCTTACTGTCTGTACTCACATGTCTGAGATAATGAGCTTCCATTCATGGGACTAATCAAGAAGCTGAGCCGCTAGTTTCGCTTTGATCCGTCCTAATTTAGTTATAAACCAGCACCAGGTGAGCCCCTGTTGTGTTGATCAAGATAAAGTAAATGTTTCTTATTTACAGAACATTTATAACATGTATTGTGTTTCAGGTAATCATGGCCAGACGGCTTAATGCGAGCAGAACGATCGGTGTGGATAAAAACGTCTGGTGAGGAATAACAATACATTTATTCCACTTATTTTACCTATTTTATGTATAAAAAGTGAAAACCAACCAGCAGAAATAAAACACATATTCATTGTGTCCTACTTTAGAGTCTGGTTATGTCATTACTTGTTGTGGAAAGTCTTGGCAGACTGTTTCTAACTATAAACCTTGATGAAACATTTTGGATCTTTTAATTCAGCAATAATGTATTACCTTCAAGGGGATATTAGAATCTCTGTTAAATACAAACAAAAAAGAAATTAGTTAATTTTTATATGTGTGATTTATGAGCATGGAGCATATTGGGTTACAAGAGCCATCTGATTGGTGGAGCTGTGGGCGTGCAAAGGTCAGAGTTCAATAAATGCTTAACCTGGAAGATGGTAACTAGAATAGTCTTTACTTGAGGGTTATGAAGTTTCCACTACATCAATAGTAGATTGTTTTAGTTTATTTTTAAACTAAACCTCAGTTGGATTAGTGTTGATTAAGGATATAATAGTTATAACAGAGTTATAATAGTTATAACTATATATAGCAGGGCTGACAAGATGTGAGATGAAGATAGGTGCAGCTATAGGTTGGAGGTTTTCAGACGATTTAACTGAAACAAAGTGGAAAAATGTGGAATTTTTATGAGTAACAATAAGTGGTCTGTAGTTATGTGGAAAATTTTTCTCACAATACACATTTTACTACTTTCCGGTGATTTGTAGAGAATCGAAGTAAAGCAGAATGGGCCCTACTAAAAACTTGCATCTTAAATATTCTTTAAACTAAAAAGTTCACAACTTTGCTCATCAATTATTCTCTGCAGTTCAAGTAAATTAAACAATAGGAAACTAATAAGCTATTAGTGGATTACTGGCACTGATACAGGAACCAGTGCAATCGAAACCTATGCAAACTAGACTGTGTATGAATATTCGTTAATAGGCTAAACCAGGGGTCTTCAATGTTTACCAGGCAGAGCATCCCTCTGCCTGGTAAACCGTGTTACCGTGTTACCCCATCTATTACAGATGGAGTCATGTAACGAAAGTAATTCCTCCCTGGGATTATTAAAATATTTCTGATTCTGATTCCTAGTTAATGGTACAGGTGTTGTGAATGAAACGGTGCCCAGCTTGAAAGAGCTCCTGTGTGTCGCTGAATGTGTGCATTGATGACTGAAAGACATCTTCTGCCTCCATTTATCTGGTTACTACAGTGTGTTAAATTCATGTTAATGTGTATTTAAAGACATTTCTATTAGTGGAACAAATTGCAGGGGGAATATAAAAAAAAAAAAGTTTCATCAACTAAAACTTTCCCGACCCCGATGCAGAGCCTCTGTGGACCCCCTCGGGGTCACAGACCCCCTGTTGAAGACCTCCAGAATAGGATTAAAAAGCTTTATTCATTATGTTATTAGTTACAGTCAATCTTACGATTGAAAAAAAACTCACCATGACAGGAGACAGCACTTCTCTGGATGTTTCATTTGGAAGGTGTGTTGCAAATTAAGTTTTTAAACATATTCAATGGACCAAAATAAAGACAAAAGAATAAGATAAGTAATAATAAAAGAAGAACATCCCTGTGGTTTCTCCTCTATGAAAACAGGATAACTGAGCTGTTCTGCACATCCTCTCTGGATGTGGTTGGTCTTTTCTTGGGTGGCTGATCTTTTGAAAAATAAAATGACATTATTCTTTTTCTGGAGCTCCTTTGGGTTTGTGAGGCAAACCTGAAAGCTTTAAGAATTAAAATATTTGTGTTGGTTTAATTACTCCTAAATGCCAATAGGAGATTATTAAACTAGACTGAGCAATAATTATTTAACTTGTGAGAAAACATGGAATAAAACTGGGACTAAAGAAGCAGCAGGTTAAGAGAAAACAAACCATTGGATGTGATCCTACACTCAGTGTCCACATCTATAATTTAAGCTAGCTGCTGAATTTTTAATCATATTTACTCAAGTACTATACGATATAACATAAATAAGTGGAACGGAGTTGAGTTTTAATGTCTCTCATTTTTTAGTGTGAGAAATTTGGAATATGGAGTAAGAGTGTGTGAAGACACTGAGATGGGTGAGTCTCACTCCCAATGGGTGAGAGTTGACTGCCCTGATATAGTTATTAACATAGATACTTGGAAAAAAAGTGAGTTTGCTTCCTTTAGGTGTAGTTTATGCTTCTACTTTTAGAAAAATAGTAGAAAGGGATCTTTGCAAATCAAATGTACAGCACATTGTTTCATCTTGTACCTTTATAAATTGCTCCAACTTTTTTTGCAGAAAGTTTTCACACACCCAGAACTTTTCTAAGCGTTGACATGCAAAAGCCTCAGCCATTAATGTGTTTGTCACTGAAAACTGTTGCAGAATAAATCAAATGGGAACACCGAAGTGAAGCAAAGGAAAAACAGTTTGAGGTCTTAAAAGATTCTTGTAATAAATATAATTTAGTCCAGTTTGCAGCAAGCTGGAGGAAACAGGAAGCATGTGATAGAAAGTGTGATAGAAATTCATCACCTTATCCATAGTGTGAAACATGTTGGTGGCATTATCATAGTGTGGGAATCCTTTCTTTAGTGATGAGAAGAGGAAGATATGGAAGAACTTGAAAAGATATGGACAGATTTTAATGAATATTTTTTTTTTATTAGAGTTTAATCTCATGCCAAGGAACAACTCATTAAAGTTTGGTAATGACCCAGGTCATGTGCTAGGTTTAGCTTGATGTGTAACTCCCAATTTTCGACAAAATTAGCGGTTTAGTCTTCACTCTCTGAGTGCTTTTCTAGTTACTCATGGATCTCCTGTGTGAATAACTCAACACTTAGATTACAGAGTTTTAAAGTGCTGCTCCCTGAAAATATGTTCATATCACATGATTTTTTTTTTTCAGATTTAGACATATTTGCTATCAAAAAGATCTGTTTATTCTATTAGGATTTTGGTTACAGACCAACACAAAGTAGCACATCCTATAAAGAAAATGATTTCATGATTCTAATGACTAAAAATATTCAGAAATGTTTAGTCAAAGCCCACACGTAAGTGCTAATGCCGGGTGCCTTGGTTTGGAGAGTTTATGTTATGTTTATCCTTCAGGTGATAATTGTGGAGCCGTTCTTTGACTGTTATCAGCCGATGGTTCTGATGGCAGGAGGGACCGCAGTCTATGTTCCTCTGAGACCTGTAAGCGGTTAAATCTGATGATCTGACATTTCAGTTCCCCTTTTCTCATTTATAACACGTGAAAGGGGTTTTTGTCATTAAATGCAGAGAGAGGGAAGCTCCGTCCTGTCTAGTGGCGACTGGGTTCTGTCTGAGGAGGAGCTCGTCAGCAAAATCACTCCTTCCACCAAAGCCATTGTCATCAACACCCCCAACAACCCTTTAGGAAAGGTGAGAGATGGGGAACTTGAACTCTCTTAATAATAAATATTTTTTTAATGGGGAAATGAAAGCAAAAGGAACGAGTGAGTCCTGAGTTCCAGTTTGTGTTTTCCAGGTTTACAAAGTGGAGGAACTGCAGATGATTGCTGATCTGTGTATTAAACATGATCTGCTGTGCTTCAGTGACGAGGTCTATGAGTGGTTAACCTACGATGGAGCCAAACATGTAAAGATAGGTGAGAAACACCCACGGCTCCCCAGAATAGAAACGCGATGGAATGGGCTTTCACCTGCTGCGTGTTTTCCTGACAGCCAGCCTCCCTGGGATGTGGGAACGAACCGTAACAGTGGGAAGTGGAGGGAAAACCTTCAGTGCTACTGGCTGGAAGGTAGCAAACCTGATGCATTTACATTTCCTCAATGTTTCTGATTTTAATTAGTTTGTATTTAGGACTGTCTCTGGTTTTAGGTCGGCTGGGCTATGAGTTCTGGAAGTCTCATCAAACACATGAAAATCATCCATCAGAACTCAGTCTATCACTGTGCAACAGCAGCACAGGTAATTTCATCAATAAATATTGCCCTTAAAGATGACATAAAGCAGTCTCTACTTACTTTAAAGGAATATTATACAATTTCAGTTATTGAGGCCAAATGTCTCGCATGTTTTAAGCTGTTTTACACCTAACACACCCAATTTGAATAATATTATCTCATGAGGCAACTGCAGAAGATGATTAAATGTTGAATAAATAATTTACCCCTTTGAGGTGCTCCAAGTATCGGAACTGGACACTGTTGATTTAAAGGTTCCCTCTGCAGAATTTAACTACAGACTGCTAAGAATATTCGGGTATGTTATGTTGCTTGAAATAGTTCAAAAAAGATTTCTGTTTTCTGTTTGGGGTTCAAGTATTGTAGTGAAGTAAGAATCCTTAGGATAAAAAAAAAAAGAATACTCCTAAACTGTGTTACTTAAAGGTATTGTGGAGGAATTTTTGAGCCGCCCTCTCCACTTAAAAAAAAAAAGCACATGCATAATCCTGTACCTTCCCCCTGATAGCGCCTATTAAACATGTGCACAAGCCTATTTCTCATTATGCAAGTTCTACTCAAAAGTTACTGTTTGCATCGCTCATACAAGCTTACTTTCTGAAAGAAGCAATTTTTCCACTATGTCAGACTCACCACCGTTAAGTGAAAATGGGGATGAGCACTTATTATGGGCTTACTGTACATAAACATATCCCCAGAATGACGGACATTTAAGAGGCCCATTTATATTAATGAATCACACATAAAAAGCACATCCACCCCTATACCTTTAATTTTAGATTTTCACCCAAGTGTCAAAAATACCTCCTAGTTTGTGAGATGAGAAAAAATTTCTTTCAGTTCTTATCAAATTTAGTGTAAATAAATTTAAAATCCTGTAATGCTCTTAAGTTTTTTACATAAATATGCCATCATGTTAAAGTTTGATCAAAGTTATTGTTTTCTAATTATTTTCCATTAGGAAAATTCTTTAGAATAACAAAAACACAATAGTGTTCTTATTGTTCATGTATCTTTTATTGATTCCTAATTGGGAATCTAAATGTTCACTAATGGAGCTGAAACCTAATTATACATCAGGTATATTTAATATAATTGTGCTTTCTGAACTCAATAATATAATAATTAGAGACTCTTTTAATGCATTTTTAAGAATACATTTAAATAACATTTATTTAGTTATTCCTAAACTAGAATGAAATAGTGAAGCATTTTGGACTTTCTTAGCCAAAAACATCCAATAGAGAATCTATGGAGCTAAAGATTAAGGGTGAATATAGAGGAACCATCAATCTAACACGGATATTTCGGACTCCAGACGGGAACTACAGAACAGTATAGAGTATAATAAACTGTTGCATTGTTTCATCAACTGTTGAAAAAGGTCTGTTTCTTTTGTCATGAGAATCAAATTTATTAAAACCTCAAAACACCAAATCTCACCCGGCCATGAATCATTTTGAATTCATGTGTATAATCAGGATTTGAGTATTTCTCATTCATAATGACTTTCTAAAAAAAGAAACATGGATTTAACCTACAATGCCAAAATGTTTATCTCTACTGCAGCCTTTGAACTCCTAAAGTACCCTCACCAGGCAGATGTTGCAGATTTGCAACAGCTAAAAGCTACTTTGCTAATTACTCCGCTTCCATATTTTAAGAGCTGTTTTTACTCAGAAGTACAACAGAAGGACTTAGTTTTGCATTTGCAACAAACAGTTTCTCTCCAGCTCACCAGATGGCACTCCTGACTCACTTTCAACATTGCTGAGTCCTTGGTGTCACTGAAACAGATTTTCTAAGCACCAATTTCATGTTAGTATCACCACCAATTTCCATTATTTGAAATCAATACTACATAAGATGAATCATGAATGTGTATAGATATGACACATGCCAATTAGTAGATTTTATCTCCTCTGGGTTTTTCACCAGAGGCATCTCGATTTCAATGTTGTGGATTCGCAACGTGTGCCCAAACAGGTACCAGTGGATGCTACATGCTTTATCTACTAGTTTGCCTATATTTTGAGCAACAGTTTAACAGAAACTGCCTTCTCAAGAGGTTTTGAGATGTCGGTGGAGAAAAAGTTTGAGAAAAAGTTGTCTCTAATTTTGTGAGAGAAGTTTTTTTTTTTGAATTTTGTTTTGTTAATTTTTTGTTTGTGACATTCAAATAAAGTTAACGTTCATATCAGATTCAGTCTTCAGTGTTAGTTTACCACTCCGGGCCACTGTTGCAAATCTGCAACATCCCAGAATTCATTGCATGTGAAGGTATCTCTCAAAAAAAAGTCTGAATTCTATATTACTACCCCATGTGATCATTTTCTCCAAATATCAGATTTTTCCTGCAACTACAACTTAATTTAAGCTTGAGAGGGTTAAAGCATGTCTCCCTCATCCTGTTGATGCAATAGGAAGCCGTGTCTCAGGGATTCGACAGAGAGTACGAGCTGTTTGGGTCTCCGGAGAGCTACTTCCAGCAGCTGCCTGCCATGCTGCACCAGAAGAGGCAGAAGCTGGCCTCGTGTCTGCAGAGCGTGGGCCTGCAACCCATCATGCCAGAGGGAGGATACTTTATGATCACAGACATCTCCTCTATAAGTGAGTGATGAGTCAGCATCTAAGCTAGATGCTCTGCATACTGCATGGGTTTGTCATAAATGTTTACCTGAGCTTTTTCCTTTTTCTTAATAGAGGTGGATCTAAATGATGAGAGCACCAAGAATGAAAGCTATGATTTTAGATTTGTCAAATGGTTGATTAAAGAAAAGGTAAATTGTAGCAGATATTTAGAAATGCAAATCTTCTGGGGTTTTTTCAGCATTTTCGGCAACTTTCTTTAATTTGTTTTTATCAAGGGCTTAGCGACAATCCCAGTTTCTGCTTTCTTCAGTCCAGAACACAGCAAGGAGTTTGACAAATACATCCGTTTCTGTTTTGTTAAGGTAAATAAAACTGCTCTGATTGTAGCTGATGATCTTTTTTTCCTCATATGCCAATCTGCCTACATTTTTTTCTTCTTTTTGCCAACAGGAAAACTCCACACTGGAAGCAGCAGAGGAGATCTTAAGAAAGTGGAGTCAAAAAGAATAATAAAAAAGACCCCTATCATACAATTATTATAAATAAAATTAGAAAGCATTATAGGTAAAAAGAAAAAGGAATCATCAATTTTTTTGTTTCTCCTCAGACAAACGTTAGACTATCCACTCCTCTGGCCTAAAAATACGCAGAAAGTTTTAAAAGACTTTTTGCAAACATGTGGTCCTGTAACCTGTTGTCGGTTCCTGAAAATGTCCTCATTGTTTTTGTGAATTAACTTTCTCATCAGACACGAAATGATGTAATGTTATGTGAAGAGATGGAGCCAAGGAGACTTGATGTTTTTTGATTTAATGAAGTACCTCAAAAACTAGTTCCTTATGGAGATTCTCCCTATGTTCTGCCTTTTTTGTTGTTGTTTTTTTTTCCTTTTCGGTTTTTGAAATGATGTTAAATATTAATTTAAAGTTTCAGATCGTTACACTACTGACAGTGCTTTCACAATATTGAACCAGGGAATTTTTTTTTTTTCTTTTTTGGAATTTTGTAGACATTGCACATCCTGTTTAGGAGTTCTGTTTTGTTTGTTTTTTATGTACCAAATCAAAATAAAGTTGTCTCTAAATATCTTAAAAATTCAGTTTTTAATTCTAAACATGGTAAGATTTAATCGATTATACCAAGATGATAAAAACAAACTAAATGACATTTATGGCCACATTGAATGGTTATAAATAAGTCGGAGAAAGAAGAGAAACATGCATGAAACCAATCACTGAGGACTATCTGTTTAACGACTTTTATTTTTCTTTTGACGTAGTAGTATCGATGGATGCAGCAACATCAGTACATCGGCGCCACTCATCTCTATTTATTGCTGATAGCCTGTTGGTAGGACAGGGTGGAGTGAGGTCACGGGCTGCCATATTGGTACTCCCTTATTAGACCAGTCGCAATGTAAACAATACGTGCAGATACAGATGTGCCAAAAGTGCTAAATTGATGATTTACATGTAATATACCTGTATCAATTACATTGCTATGATAATTACATATTACATATAATTTCAAGATTTTACATCAAGGCTGAATTATAAGTACATGTCTGTTAACGCTATAGTATTTTCCTATTTATAAATTGTGCATCCATGATTCAATATACTTTTATGCTGTGTCTGTGCATTAGTCTTTAGATCTGACAGATTTACAATAGAACTACGTTATTGAACCAATTTAATAACTCCACAGATCTTTCTACTCTAGCAAAATCACATAAATTGGCAAAATAACAGGCAACATAAAATTCATATTTTGCTTTTTGTTCATAGCTAACATGAATTTGATAATTTGCATATACTGTATGTACAAGTATGTACAAACACACTATCCAATGATCGAATAGCTTTAGATTAGATCAGATTAGAATAGATTAGCTTAGATTAGATTAGATTCAACTTTATAGTCATTACACAGGTACAGGTACAAGGCAACGAAATGCAGTTTAGGTCTAACCAGAAGTGCAATAGCAGCAAGTGCAGGATAAATAATGGTTCCATAAATATAGGACATGGGTTTCTACTGAATCAGTATAGAGATGAACACCATTATAAATAATGAATATAATATATAGATCACTACTGTTATGAACTAAATTTACAGCTGGATATGTACTGAATATAATATACAGGTGGATATTACTATAAAAAGGGTTTTTATAGGGTTTTAATAATATAACCTACACATGTAGTGTGAAATCACATTCAACTATACAGATATATGCATTTCAAAAATGAAACAAAAATATAAACTGTTTATAAGCGCATCTATAAACATAATGCAGCTACCAAAAGAATATTTGATCTTTTGCTCTTCCTTATCAAATAATGAAGAATTATGGAGCAGAAGAAAGGTTTCAGACATGTGACACCATTTTCATCTCATACTTGTTTTATTTTATTGCTCTGCCATCCTGTTCCTCTCGGTTATCATTTAAGTTATCTGAATTAAAATGAAATTCAAATTGACTATTAGTTCACCGTACTTAGAATATGTCTATAAATCCTAATAAGCACCCTCATTAACATTTTCATCTAAATTTTAATGTTATATGTTTACATCGTTTACTGACTTCATCTTAAGAAAATCAAAGATTTTGTTTTTTTCAATTGAAAGTATTTTAATATTGATAGAACTGGAAGGGGGCTTTACAGAATTCAAAGAAAACTTGCTAGAATGAGGAGAACAGGAAGAAATAGAAAAGAGGAAACCAATATATCCAGATTACGTTTTGATCATACAGTGTTAAATAGTATATTATTTAAAATGGGAAAACATCCAACAGGAAATTGTGATTTTTGCTTTCAAGAAGAGACAATAAAACATGTTTTCTTAGTCTGTTCTAAATATTCTGTTCTTGCTAGTTGATTACAAGAAAATAAATTGCAATTAAATATCCTTATGGCCAAACTTTCTACTTCTAAATGGTTTTTTTTTTTTATGAATTACCTTAAGAATATAAATATAATATAAGATTTATTAACTTAATTATTATAATTTTTCATTTCATTTATTTATTTTTGTTTTGTGGGAGAATGTATATATATAGCATCCCGTTCCACGCTCCATTCCAGTAGATGGTGGTAATGCGCATCAATAAGTTGCTTGCCAACCGCCATAAAAAAAGAAGAACGTAGAAGTAAATAAACCCTGGCATGTGGATGGTCGTTTGGTGCATGGCGCGTGTTTTGAAGCTGCTTATGGAGAAATGTCTTGGGCCGTGAGTAGTGAGGAAACAGGAAGCGATTCTTGTGGGATGGAAGAGGGAAATAGTGACAATGAAGGTTGGAAGATAGCAACATCAAAAAATGAGAAAAAGCGGAAAAAACAGAGATCAGTTCAAGGGGAATCTAGTTCAGAACAATCCAGTGATGATCATTCCATACATTCCACAGCACAACAAAATGAATTCAAAGTCATATTCAAAGTCGTTAATCAGGCAGACTCTTTTACAAATTGGAATCCGGTTCACTTAACAAAAACCATCAATAAACTTGTCGGAGAAGTCAGAGGTGCCAGAATTCTGTACAGTGGAGACCTGCTAATTATCTGCAGAGACAGCGCCCAGCAAGGCAAAGCAATACGGATCAACAAAATTGACGGGATAAGAGTTCAGTGCAGCTTAATGGAGAACAAAAAGTTCAGCAGGGGAGTCATTGGAGGAGTTCCTCTAAAAATTTCTGAAAAAGAGATTCTGGAAAACATAAGAGGTGCAAAAGTAAAAGAAGTAAAACGGTTAAAAACAACAAGAAACGGAGAAAGATCTGACAGTTTATCTGTGCTAATTAAATTCGAAGAAGAGCAATTACCAAGCAAAGTATTCATCGGTTACATAAGCTATAATGTCAAAATCTACAATCCTCCACCATTGAGATGTTTCAAATGCCAAAAATTCGGTCACATTGCAGCAGTTTGTAAAGGGAAACAGAGGTGTGGAAGGTGTGCAGGAGAACATGAGTACGGAAAATGTGGAAAAGAAGCTAAAATAAAATGCTGTAATTGTGGTGGAGAACATACTGCTGCCTATCGCGGCTGTGAAGCAAGCAAAAGGTCTGAGGAAATTAAAAAAATGAAATTTGAGCTCGGAATAACCTACGCTGAAGCTGCAAAAAGGATCCCATCTCAGTCAGAAAAACCCAAACCTACAGTTCAACACACAGCAAATTCCAAACCTCTAGAGAAATCTCTAAAAATTGATGAAGACTCACTTATTGTTAAAAAGACAAATTTTGTTCTTTTCATGGTAGAAGTTATTAATTGTACTGCACAGACAACAAAAAAAACGGAAAAAATCAAAATAATAGTGAAGGCTGCAGAAAAATATCTGGACATTAAAGATTTGAACTGGGAGATGGTTGGAAGTATGATGGGAGGACCGATGGGACCATCAGAAACTGGCAGAGTTAAGATGACCTAGAGTAAATTAAAATTATATGGGCAAATGTGATTTAGTATTATGTTGGTTTAAGTTACACAGGTTTTTTTTTTTTTTTTTTTTTTTTTTTTTTTTTTTTTTTTTTTTTTTTTTTTTTTTTTTTGGGGGGGTGAATCGTTTCCTGTTTTCTTGTTATACTCCATATCAGTTGGTGGCGGTAATGCACAATTCACAAGTCTGCCAACCGCCATAAAATCCCATAAGAAGAAGAAGAAGTAAATAAACCCACCTGTTGGTTTCTGGAAAAATGTCGGCCGACAGTGCAGCGACAAAACCTAAACCTGCGTCTTCTCAGGTGCTACTCTAATATAATAAAACGCATCTATGTGTGTGTTTCTGTATTATTTTTTTTATTTCTTAATGCATCTATTCGTTATTTCAGAGCGGGGATCAGATTCCTTGGAAGAAAAGGAAAGCAGAAAGTGAGTAGAAGCTAACTAAGCTAACAGCTGCATGTCCACTGGCCACAGGTTTTACTAGTCTTGGAGTATATGGGTACACCTATTAATGACTGAGGATTTGGGTAATCTGCATTACTACAACATTGGTGAAACATAGTGAGTTAAAATATCATTGTGTAAACCCAACACATTTAAACCCAACTAAGTCCTACAGATAGATACCAACAGCGTGTGAGCTGAGAGCTATTTGATGCAAGGGTGATTAAAGTTGGTGGGGACGCTCTAAGGGTGGTGGCTGATGGACCTACAGCTACTCAACTCGAACGCTTTCAATAAGGTTTATATTTTCCAAAAATGAGCTCAAACATATATTTATTGAATGCTTTCCTATTGTTGAGAGCACAAGAGTATGTTGTCATTAGAAAGAGAATACAGTTTAGGCATAAATGGCTGTTTAAGTCTTCCATTTTACTTTAAGAACATTCATATACAATATTTATCATTAAAATGATTATAATTAAGTTAGAAACACATCGGCTTCAGGAGTTGCCATTTGTTCAATCAAGTATAAAATAAATTTCTGATATTCCTACCTAAATATGTGTGAAAGGAGATGAGAAAAGTGTATCTGATGCACAAACTGCAATCAATAAAGCTTCATTTAAAATGTCAGCATTCATATCATTGGTCATGATGTATATTTTCTTTACAGTAAAAGAGAAACGTAAGCAGTGGAAAAAGGCTAAACTTATCAAACAGTTGGAGAAGCAGAAACAGCGAGAGGATGCAGAGAGAGCCCAACAGGAGGAAAGCCAGAGTAAGAAAGGTAACTCATCATTTACTGATGGTCTGCTGGAGCTGTTGTTAGCTCAAGTTAGCTAAGATGGTCGCCTGTGTTCAGGTCGAGCTTACACGGTCAGCGTTGCCCTGCCGGGCTCCGTCCTGGACAACGCTCAGTCTCCTGAGCTCAGAACATACCTAGCGGGACAGATCGCCCGAGCCTGCGTCGTCTTCAATGTGGATGAAATAGTCGTATTCGACGAGCAAGGTGAAGATGTCAAGTAAGTGGTGAGGGGGAAAAAAAGCTTGATGCTAAATATTTAAACTGAGTTCTGGTTGATTTTGTTTTATTTATTTATTTTTTTCCCCAGGAGCGTCGAAGGAGAATTTAAAGGTGTGGGAAAGAGAGGTCATGCGTGTATCCAGCTCGCCAGAATACTTCAGTACATGGAGTGTCCGCAGTAAGCATCATCAGGTCATCATCTTTACAGTCGCTGTCCAGCACTTCAGCTTGTCACTCTGAGCTTCTGCTCTCCACCAGGTATCTGCGCAAGAGGTTTTTCCCGATGCACAAAGATTTACAATATGCAGGTAATTTTAAAGCCGTGGTAATTTTTACTGATTTATACACAATGTTTCCTGCTGCTCTTTAAGAGCACTTTGATTCCTTTTTTTTTTTTTTTTACAGAAATATGATATACAAAAAAGCCTTCAGAACCTTAGAATAGTTATAAAACCAGTAACTAGATAAATACCAGTGCTCCAATCAAGTTCTTTGTTGTTCTTTTAAGCCATCAGGTTCTTTATAGTTTAAAACCTTTTGTAGCACCTGCATATTTTTCATGTTGAAATTTCTTAGATTTCCATTTCAGGTTGGCTAAGTTCTCAGTTCGTTATATTTTCGTTGTTTGTTGTGAAACATTGTTCAACCAACATTTTCACAGATAGAATTGCATTGCCTGTTCAATTAAGGACACCTCCTGAATGGGATATTGAGATAAAATCTCTCTTGAAAAAAAATTTTATTTATGTAATATATCTTTTTATTAGATTTAAGGCAGAAAAAGAATCTGTTGGTTTTGGTAGGAAATAGGTTGGAGATAAGGTTTTTTTAATCCATGTTGCCCAGCCTTAGTTTGGATATGTCTGAATGGATTAAAGAAGAGATAATATAATGAAAAATTGATGTAGAAATGGAGAGATAAGAGTGATTACACATTAGTAAAGTCTAGAAATCCAATATTGTTCCACACTTGTATAGAATTTACATTTCTTTCTAATGTCTAGAATTTGAAGTAGGCCTGGGCGATAAACTGGATTTTTATTCACCACGACGACGGGCAACAATTCTCCCATGCTGCTAAAAGAAATAAACTTAAATCTGCTGTTTTTTCTGTGTGTGCTGGTAGCTGGTATCTCCTTCCCCTTTAAGAAATTGCACCATGTGTGCAATTAAGTAACCCCACCGATCCAGTCAGAAGCACAAACAAAAAGAATAGTAGATGAGCCCGGGGAAGAAGTGTCTAGCAGCTGTAAAATAAATTGCATCAGTTAATCCTGTGGAGCCAAATGACAGCAGAGATAAAGCTGAGCGTGCAGAGAAGAAGTCAAGAGCAGCAGACCAGTTTTGTTTGATGGTGTGAAAGTTTAAACGGTGCACATTGTTCTCACTGCACTCTCAGTTTGATGGCACCAAAATTACGGTTTAGACGTTGATCATCCTCTGACGTGGGAGCTGGCTCGGAGCCCGTCTGCCTGGATGTGTGTTTCCTAGACAGGACCGCCTCTGAAGCTGTTTTACATCTACCTATTTTATCTCTGCTTCTTTCTCTATGTCGGGATTCCTGTTAAAAGGGAGTTTTTCCTCTCCACTGTTGCTACAAGCACGCTTAGTGAGAGGGATTGCCTTTGAGTCAATGAGTCGATGCAATCAACTGGTTTTCCTCATATATAAAACTTTGAAACAATTTGATTGTATGATCCGGGTGAATTATAAAGTGCCTTGAGGTGACGTGTTGTGAATTGGCGCTATATAAATAAACTGAATTCAATTGAATTAAAAAAAACACGAAATGCAAAGCTTGTCTGAAAACTGTCGAGACTACCTAAAGTAACGCATCCAACCTCCACCACCTACAGTACAACCAAGCTGTTGAGTTCAAAGATGTACAAAAGGCTCCATTACCTTTGCAAAAAAAATATTTAAATACATTTTTACTGTTTAATGAGACATTGTTGAATCTTTAAACCTGAATCGATACAAGACTCAATTAATAAACTGTAAAGAGATCAGTCGCATTTCCTGTACATGCCTTTATTTCTGATAGAAAGCCGGAGTGTTTATCGTGCATTTATTATTGAGGTAAAACTGCCCAATTTATCATGATATTGATTTGAGGTCATATTACCCAGTCTTAATGTAAAATAATCATATTAGGGAGGAGAGATGGTGTCTTTATCAGATTAGCTGTTCTTTTTTTGTTTGTTAAACCTCTGATATACTAGTGATGAAATCTGCTCTAGAAGCAACTTTTTCAGTCACATATAAAGGTTTTTATGTCATGAAAGTGAAAGGAAAGCAGTTTCAAGTTAGTTTATTTTATTTTCTGCCAGGTTTGCTCAACCCTCTAGACAGTCCTCATCACATGAGGATGGACGAAGAGTCTGAATACCGGGAAGGAAGGGTCCTCAACAAGCCTCCCAAACAAGGAAAGGGCTCAGTGGTGAACTGTGGAATGAGGAAGGTGACTATAGCGCCACTATTTTTAGTCTGTTCTGAACTTGTTAGATCAAACAAAATTGACAGTGTTTAAATCCAATCACCAGGACGTCCGGATAGATAAACAACTGCAGCCGGATCTACGAGTTACAGTGAAGCTCAATAAGACACAGAATCAAGGTAGTTTTCTCCTCTTGGTGTCTGTTGTCCATGATTCATCTACTGCAGGAAAACGCATCCTGTAGAATGTGTTTCTATGTGTGTGTCCAGACAGCAGACTATATAAAGGCGTCGTCGTGGCTCCTCATGTGCCCAGAACAGAGGGTGGTCTGTACTGGGGGTACACAGTCCGCCTGGCATCATGTCTGAGTATGTGTACAGTTTTCTGCCTCGTTGCCATGCAACTCCAAAATATTGGAAAAAAACTCACAGCTGGTTGTTTCTGCCAATGCAGGTACGGTTTTCACAGAGAGTCCATTTAAGGAAGGGTATGACCTGACTGTTGGCACCTCAGAGAGAGGCAGCAGCGTGGACCAAGTCACGCTCTCACCATTCAAGTAGGTTGAATGAAAGCTCATTAAACGATTAGGTCCTGGTGTCAGGCAGCAAAGTGCTTTAAAGTCTTCATGCTTGCATGCAACCTGAGGCATCAAGCATCTGAAGAGAAGCTTATAGCCAAGGTGTTTGCTACCAGTTTAATGTGTCCACTCTTTAGGCACCTTTTGGTGGTTTTTGGAGGTCTCCAGGGTTTGGAAGCCAGCCTGGATGCAGACCAGAACCTAGATGTGAGCGACCCCTGCATCTTATTTGATCTCTACCTTAATACGTGTCCCAGTCAAGGCAGCAGGACCATCAGAACTGAGGTAAGATGATGATTTATGATTTGAAAGTTTTGCCCACTGTGATAAATCCCTCATTACTTTTGTTAACAGGAGGCCATACTGATCTCCATGGCGGCGCTGAGGCCGAAGATCACGGCTGCTTTTTCTGATATTTCCAGTAGTTAAAGAAAAAGTCAGTAAGCAGTTTAATAATTAGACTTACTACGACCTATAAATGTTTGAGAATGATTTGTAAATATCCATTAACTCAATAAGTTGTCAGTAAAATATTTTTGTCCCTTTTATACATTCTCCTTTTAGTGTCTGAAGTCACTGTACATGTTTGAATACAAATGAACCTGTTAGATTTATCATGTCATCTGTCTCTGGAAAAACATTGTTCTGATGAACTGTATTAAAATAAGATATTTAATAAAAGTATTAAATATCAGCTTCAAAGGTGAGCCATTAGCTTTTCATTCTGCCTTGCTAAAGCTCTCATACTCCTTATACATTTTATTTAATTATGAAACGGCTGATCTTTATATATTTTGTGCTATAAACAAAAAAGAGAATAGGGCATAATGGTGTAGAAGAAATGATTTTAAGTTCTTGCAAATAACTTGAAAAGTATCTTTAATTTGCATTGAGGTCTTATGTAGTTCAATCTAAATTGATGGAAAGATGAAGGTGCAGTAAATATGCAGCAAATCAGAGAGGAAACTGAAGGTATAAAAGACCAGCAGAGAATCACCTTTCAGGTTATTCTCAGGATTAATAAATTACAAAGGAATTGATAGATTTTATTTTCCTTCTGTTTCACAATCAACAGCTACTTTGTATTAATCACATAAAACTCCACACTAAGGGTTGATAAATCCAAGAGTTTGAACACTTTTTCAAGGCATCCGACAGCAAATTACTGTCAATTATTGAATTGATTTGTTTTCAGTTTGGAAGGAAACTTACGGTTTGGAGGTGATCTGTAATGGAAACCATTTGTCAAGAAAGAAGAGAACACTTAAACTTAGGTGCAGGCAGGAGAAGCTAGAATATTATGCACCACATCCTTTTATTATGGATATAATCTCCTTTGTACAAACATAATTTACAGTGGTTGGAAATGCTGCTCTTTAACAGCCACATACATGAAATGTCTCTCTTCTGCTTTAGATGTTGAACTTATTCAGTCCTCAGTTCTGTTATTAAAATTTTTCTCATCTTCATAGAAAACGTGGGCATTGGATTTTTGATAAATGATACCAGACAAAAAAAAGATTAATCACATCAATTATTTCCAGCAGTGAACGGCTGGATCTCCAAAAATAAAACTGAAAGGATGAACCCAAGTTACATCAAAAGGCAATATGGTTAGAAAATGCATTCCTTCAGCTAAACCTTTTGATTTGTTAAAATCTGTTAAAGCACTTAAATAAATCTGGATGAGGTGTATTCTGTTTGCAGCTCTAATGCATGCACACTTAGTTTCAGCAGATGCATTAGTGCTCCATTGTGGGAAGTATTCAAGCTGATTAGCTAGTTTTTTTAAACTGCAGATTAATCCTGCTGTCCAGGTTTAAAATGCTGCAGTGAGCCACATCCTCCTTCATAAGGCCTCACTATGACCTGTAGGCTGAAATAAAAACCTGCTGTTCTAGAATATGATCTCTCTGTAGGGGATTGATAAGACACTTGATAATGTAATCCAACATGGAACAAAACAAAACATTCAAGTACATAATACAAATGTAGAGGAAACACCTTCAGGTGAAGTCTTTCTATTCGCAAGACTCAAGTCAGCATCCACTATGTGAGGACAATTACACACATAACTGGCATGATTTATCTTGGGCTTTTATTTGACAGTTTTTTCCCAGGTTGGAATGAAATTAACTGGAAATGGGTGATGATTCAGTTCTGATTAGCAACCTTTAGAATCAATTCCTTCCAATCTCAAATTGGATTGTCAGTATTAAAAATCATTGTTTAAGCTTGTGCCTGAATTACATGGCTGAGTATTTACGAAACATATTGATACAAGCTGATGTATGGTAACGATGGCTCATCAAGGCTGTAAGGACAGAGGAAAATGCGTTCCTTTTTAAATCCATGTTTGGTTAAGATTATGGAAATCTATTCAGAATTAGATTTTTCTTTTAACACGGTCTTAAATATTACAACATAACCTATCTCTTTTTTCTAAAACAAAAAGTTTTAGCTTCTCGTCTTGCCCTAAATACCATGTAAAAAAAATAAAAACATAATCAAATAGAATAGCAAACCTGCTTAACTGTAATTAGAAGGGACCTAATCAATTTTTTATTAAATAAAGAATCCACTTTTCCAGGCAATATTATAACAGTTACAAATGCTTTTATGTACAATTGTTTGACCGTATGTGGATTAGGGCAAAATTAGCTAACATTAAAACCTGGGCACCCAAACATTTGCTTTCCAAAAAACTTGAAAGCTTTTGTAAAAATCATTTCAACCTGGGGAAAAAATAAAATCTTAAATAAAACCCTTACATAACACATCCACACCCTTAATGTGTAAACTGGACAGAACTCAAGTATAATAATTTCAGAAACATTTCCACACACCTTCCTTATCATGTAGTCCAGATGAAGATTTTCCATATACTTCCACCCCATTGTCACTGGAAGAAAGCATTTCTGTCTTCTCATTTTGAGATATAATTAACGTGAATCCATGGTGCTTGTCTTTAAGCTTTCTGTCCGCTCTCTCACCATTTGGGGTTAGTGAAAGTGATGTTGTACTGCTTGGCCCAGCGAGCAAACACCTGCTTCTCTGTGATGAAGCGGTGGTGATTCCCCCTACGACCGCTTTCATTCTGGATGTACATTAGACATTCATCAGACCCCCTGGGTTTGTAGTAGTGATAGGGCATCTTCTTGGAAGCTGTTTTTTTCCTGGAATTATAACAATAACAGTACCATTAGGTGATAGTTCAATGAGAAACGACCTGCTTATCAGTTTTCATCAATAATAATCCCTAGAAACTGGCTGGTAAACTAAACTATTAGACACTTCACGCACCACCATGTTCCGCTACAAACCTCCCATTCTTTTAGGGACGATCTTTGGCTTCATTAAGGTGTTCATAACTAAAAATCTAAGAGGGTCCTCTTACATAGCTCACTCTGATTGCAAACAATGGCTCTCCAATTAGATTCTGGCACCCTGTTGGCTTTCTATGTTTTGTATACACTTGTTTTTAGTTTAATACATGTATACTTATTTGCCATAACAAGTATACGTGGCTGATATGCGCGGAGTTAGCAAATAAGAACAAAATGAAGCCAAGAAAGTAAGCATTTCTCTGATGGATGGGGTGAAAAGAAAGGAAAAATCTAAAATTAAGCATGGCAGAGCAAAAAGAAAAAAAAAAAAGAAACTAAAAGGATTAAGAGACAAGTAGCGTTCAGACTACAGGCTGGCTTTAAAAAAACAATAGTTTTGTATACTATAAATAAAGGCTGGTAACATTGTAACATTTTTAATCTAATGTAGAACATAAAAAAAAACAACAGGTTAATATTCAGTATGTGCAATCTTTATACTCACCCGCAGTAATTTGGTGGGACCATCCCATATACTTTAATATTATCACACATCTCAATGGCTATGACCATGGTGAACCAGCCAGTGCTCAACCAAGAGTGAGACTTTTGTCTTAGAAGGAAGGAAAACAAAAAGAGTCAGTCATTAAAAGAGTCACTATAGAAAAGGGCTGATCAGTGTCCCACCATACTCACCTGTCCCGCCCTGTCTCTCTAGTAAACAGGTTGTCGAATTTTCGCATTTTGTTGGGTGAAATACTGAAGAACGACAGGTTGCTGTAAGTCATGCTGACCCTCTGGAGTAGTCTGAACAAGGTTCCCTTCGCATCCTTCCCGATCTTATTCGGTGGACCCCAGAAGATGATGGTGGAGTTGCTGTCCGTACGCTGCAGATACTCATTAGGCCTCTTTATCACCCTGAAGACACTGGCGTGGGCCACCACCCTGACAGTGGTTCGGTTGCCGACGTCGGACTCGTAACCGGATGTGGGAGCGTCGTTCATCCGGATCACACACTCTGTTTGGTCCACCTCGCTCCCCGCCTGGCTACCAAGGACGTGACTGGAGCTTGTCACCAGCGCACAGTTATGACAGTGGAGGGTCATACTCTGAGAGACACATAAAACACAAACCTTTTATTAGATATACATAAAACGATCTAATCCGTTGGTTTTTGCTAATTCATTGCTAGTTTGGCTAGAGCTGATGAAAAGGGCTTTTGCTCCCATTTCACATACAGAGATGTGAATGTATCCATTCCACCACTATCTTTTAAAATCCCAGTTGTTGTGTTGGGCAGCTTACTTTGCTACCATAAAGTGGCATGTAGCCATCTCTCCCAGACCACTTCTTCAGGTCTGTAGTCTTGGTGGCGCGAATGAGGGCTATGTTGAAGGGGATGTAGGACCCATCATTGCTGTTGTTAGAGCCATAGAGGATGAGGAGTGTTGTCAGGATGAAGACGGCAAAGAAGATCACCAACCTGTGGCTCTGTTGACCCTGAAGTGTAAACAACAGCAGTTAAAGATAAATCTAAACCAAAAAATACTGTTCTTCCCATTTTTTCATTTCACTAGACAAGATTTTAGCCTCAATTAGTTTTTTTGTTTCTGATTTAGACAAAAATATCAGAAAAGTGTGGCACGGCACCAGGTTTACCGTGTAGGGCAGCCTCAGCTATCAGATGGAGGCTTGTTTTGAAATCAGTTTTGCTCTATTCTGATCGGAGTCTCTTCTGCCACATGTTTGCTGGCTTTCCTAAGTGGTTTGAGGAAAACTTTATAAAAGATTCAAGGGCTTTATTTTTCCAAGTTCGAATACCTAATCATGTACAGCAGAAGACTAAAAGTAAAAATACAAATGCACAAATTTATTTTGAGCTATAAAAAAACAAATAAAACAAATTTAAAAACTGTCATATCTGCATTGGATATTCTTTATTTAGCAGATCCTGATTTCTATTCACATTGTTTATATTTTCATTGGATTTATTTTCTATTTAAATGCAGAAGAAACATCCAGTTAATGTTGGGTTAAAAATGGCTGCACATATATATATACTTAGTGTTTATTTTATACTTGATTTATTGTCTTTAAAGTTTAGATATTTATACTTAATATCTGTACTCTTTGACCATAAAAAAAAATCAGCTTCTTTGTTTTTTCACACCATCTTGGCAAAAAAAATTATTTAATTATATTTGTAGTAGGTGCTTTTTTAAATGCTCACTTTAAGAGAGTTTTGCAACTTCTCCTATTTCAGGGGTGCCCAACCAGTCGATCGTGGTCTACCAGTCGATCGTGCGCGGTGTTTCAGTTGATTGCGAGAAGTTTTACAATGTAGACCTATTTATGGCTATGACAAAGAAAAGTTTTAAAAAACACTAATCAGAACAGAACAGCTGTGTGGCAATATTTTAAATATGAAGCACGTCATGGACGTTGTGATGAAGATCGCTTGCTCTTATCGGGCCAGGAGTTTTCAGAGACGTTTATTCCGTGCAAAGCTCGAGGCAGGTGGAGACCACACTGATCTGCTGCTGCACACAGACGTCAGGTGGCTGAGTTGTGGCAGATTCCTCAAAAGATTGTTGGAACTTTTGCCTGAAATTAAAGAGTTTCTGAAACAGTCAACAACCCATTCTGCTGTATGTTACATCTTGACATCCACATAGTTTGTACTTAGTATTTTCCTATTTTTATCTGTTTTCCTGTTGAATTTTAATCCATCTGCCAGTTTCTCTGCCAATGCCCAGTGAAGTTTAGCATTCTGAAATAGTGGACTTCCCTTCTCCTTCTTCTTGGTTTGAAATTATCTTAGACTTAGATAGATTGTATTTGTCATTTTGTTTACACAAGTGTAAAATAAAAAGAAATTTAGTTTGGAACAGCTCACTGAACAATTTCATCTTTTTTTTTAAGTACAGCCTTGAAAAGTAGTTAAAAATTTTTATATAGTGATATAAACATATGACTGTAAATTTACAGTTCTAACGTTTTTTTTTTTTTTTTTTTTCCATCTCTACTGAACTGTGTGTATGTATCAATTGGTTTATTTAAATTTTTTGACTGCACAGCCTTTGTCTGGAGATCTTGACTGCTCTTTTCTGTAGTTTTGGTGTGTCTGAGTGAGAGTGAGTGAGTGAGATATGGTGTGAAGGTCTCATGAGATTGTTAAGTTCTGTTTTTGCAACCTATTTTTTGACACAATTGTTAATTTCCTCATTTGTTGGACTTACTGTTTATTCTCCACCTTTGCAAATAAAAAACAAATACTGCCCATCCCTTGTGTTATGCTTGGTAGATCTCGGCATGCCATCAACTTCAAAAGTAGATCTTGGTTAAAAAAGGTTGGGCGCCCCTGTTCTAAAGAGTGTTTTACATTTCTGATCACTTCTGGGAGGATGGTACTGGTGGTTCAACTTATTTTAATATCTCATCAATCTTATTTAAAGCACGAGCGTTTAAAGTCTTGGATAGTAACTGGAGGCCCATGATCTAAGAAAATAATTTAACTGGTAGATCATGACATCTTACAAGTTTAAACCCATGTATATACTGTATGGATTCATATTCACTGCCTGTATGCATATTCTGGTTAAATCTTAAAGCAGACTTATTACAAAATAAACCCAGCTAAAGCTTTTCCACTTGAGGAGTTCTGAATAGAGCATATTGATGGGTCTTCTTTTTTTTTCTCTTAAAGGCTAAAATATTTCCTTTTTTTTGTTTTTGTTTTACAATTTTGGTATAATTACTGCTCTAAGTTGGTTGTTCTGTCACCTAAAGGCACATTTTAGAGTCTCTATACTCCAGTTAACGGTTAATCAAGTAATAAATTAGTTGCTGATTATTCTACTAATCGATTAATCGTGATTTCTCTCTCTCTCTCTCTCTCTCTCTCTCTATATATATATATATATATATATATATATATATATATAGAGAGAGAGAGAGAGAGAGAGAGTGCAAATGCCTTATATCAGGCCTTACCAAATTAGATCATCTCCGGAAAGCAAAAAGCTGTTGGGATCCAAGGTTTGCCCTCCAGAGGGCGGTGTGGATCCCATTCTGTTTGGCTTCTGTTTCTGTTTGGATCCAGGGGTTTGCCCTCCAGAGGGCGATATGGATCCTTCCCTGGGAGCTGGTTCTCAGCGCACAGCTGTTTCCCATCAGCTCTGCTCATTAACCTCTCCCCATATAAGCTGTGTCACAGCTCCACTCGGAGCCGGATCGTAGCCATCTGTTCCCAAGCCATGTAGCATGTGTTACCCACAGCCATGTTCAGCCTTGTGTTTCCTAGCCATGTTTTGCCACGCCTTGCCATGTCCGTTACCTGTGCTTCTCTGCCTGTCTGAACCAGCGAACCCGTGAGTTTTCAGTTTAGTTTTTGTTCCCTGAGTTTAACCTGTTTTCTGTCCTCTCTGCCTTCCAGGGCAGGTTCCCTGTGTTCTTTAATAAATATTGGACTGATCCTTCATCCGAGTCTGTGAGTTCTGCATCCTTGGGCTAGCAAACCAACCACACATCATGACAGAACGATCCGGCCAACAAGCTAGCCCAGCAGACTCCACCCACGCTCACCTGGTGGGGCCCGCTCGGCGCAGTCTGCTGCCTCCCAAGTGGGAGGCACAGCTGCAACACTACCATGAGTTATTGGCCTCCTTAGCCCCTGAGCCCGCTTCGTGCCTTCCAGAGACCCCTGAGCAGCTCTTAAGGAGGCGGATGCACCGGAGTTTAGGGAATTACCTTCGAGAGGTGGAGACGGAGCTGAGACGAGTCGATGAGGAGTGGATTCGTTTTGTGCAGGAGATGAGGGGGCGTCTAGGGATCCCTGCTCCTGATTCGAAGCCGCAATGGGCGGCCTCCTCAGTCTCTGATCCGGAACCGCGACCGGCCGCCACCTGTCTACCTGTGGAGCCACAATCGATGGTCTCCCCAGCTTCTGGGGTGGAGCCGCAGTCGGCGGTTTACTCTGAGCCTCCTCCTGTGGAACCACAGTCAGTGGTTTCCCCAGCTCCTGATGCGGAGCCGCAATGGGCGGCTTCCTCTGTTCCTGACCGGGAGCCGCAACCAGCGGGCTCTCCTGTTCCTGATGTGAAGCCGCAATGGGCGGCCTTTTCTGTTCCTGATCCGGAGCCGCAATCTGCAGCCTCCTGGTTTCCTGTGGAGCCACAGTCGGTGGTCTCCCCTGCTCCAGGGGCGGAGCTGCAGTCGGCGGCTTCCCCTGAGCCTCCTCCTGAGCTGCTGTCGACGCTTTCCTCTGAGTCTCCTCCTGGGCTGCAGTCGTCGGTTGCTGCTGAGCCTTTTGCTGTGTCGCTGAAGCTGAGACGGCGTCCTACTCGGAGCTTCCTGCAGCAGCAGAAACGGCGTCCTCCCCGGAGTTTACTGCAGAGACGGCGTCCTACTCGGAGCTTCCGGCAGCAGCAGAAACGGCGTCCTCCCCGGAGTTTACTGCAGAGACGGCGTCCTCCTCGACGCTTCCCGCAGCAGCTGAGTCGGCGACCTCCTCGACGCTCCCCGCAGCAGCTGAGACGGCGTTCCCCTCGTTGCTCCCCGCAGCAGCAGAGACGGCGTCCAACTCGGAGCTTCCTACAGCAGCAGAAACAGCGTCCTCCTCCGCGCTTCCTGCTGCAGCAGAGAAGGCGTCCTCTTCCATGGCCCCTGCAGCTTCTGAGACGCCGGTCACACGGCCGGCCACCTGAGACTCTGTCCTGCTGCCGGTCACACGGCCGGCCACCTGAGACTCTGCCTTTCCACCGGCCCCACGGCCGGCCACCAGAGACTAAGCCTTGCTACCCGGCCCCACGGCCGGCCCCCTGAAACTAAGCCTTGCTACCCGGCCCCACGGCCGGTCCCCTGAGACTTTCCTGTCCTCGCCCACCCCGGGTGGGTTGTTTTGATTTTTGGACTCTGATCTGTTTTTTGTGCCTGGCCCTCCGTGCCTGTTTCCCCCTCTGTTCGCCCTAAGTGGGTTGTTTTTGTTTATGGTTTTTTGTTTTTGGGCGTCTGGTATCCGCCCTTGAGGGGGGGGTACTGTTGGGATCCAAGGTTTGCCCTCCAGAGGGCGGTGTGGATCCCATTCTGTTTGGCTTCTGTTTCTGTTTGGATCCAGGGGTTTGCCCTCCAGAGGGCGATATGGATCCTTCCCTGGGAGCTGGTTCTCAGCGCACAGCTGTTTCCCATCAGCTCTGCTCATTAACCTCTCCCCATATAAGCTGTGTCACAGCTCCACTCGGAGCCGGATCGTAGCCATCTGTTCCCAAGCCATGTAGCATGTGTTACCCACAGCCATGTTCAGCCTTGTGTTTCCTAGCCATGTTTTGCCACGCCTTGCCATGTCCGTTACCTGTGCTTCTCTGCCTGTCTGAACCAGCGAACCCGTGAGTTTTCAGTTTAGTTTTTGTTCCCTGAGTTTAACCTGTTTTCTGTCCTCTCTGCCTTCCAGGGCAGGTTCCCTGTGTTCTTTAATAAATATTGGACTGATCCTTCATCCGAGTCTGTGAGTTCTGCATCCTTGGGCTAGCAAACCAACCACGCATCATGACAAAAGCATCTTAACGTTGCCTAATACTTTATCTAAAAAAGATAAAGATTATATTTCTGATGAAAACATCTAAAGTTTAAACCACCATTAAAGCACTAAGAAATGTTAATATCAGCCTGCACAGGTAGCTGGCTGTCTGTGGATGAATAAAACTATTTGGTCAGAATGTGGGGCGGGGATGTACTTCCCCATTAACGCATGTGTGGCGCACCCAAAACAGGTGACCACATTGCTTGTCTGTTTATTATTAAATAAATATGATATCTATGTATATATATTTACACTGTCGCTACAATATGTGGCACAAGCAGATATGTTCCGGTTGCTATGGGAACGGAGCTCCGCTCGCTCTTGGGAGAATACATAGAAAGCTGCTGTGCCTGAGTCTCCTTTTATTTCATCTGCCTTTCGGGTCAGTAATAGGTAAACTGTCCATCTTAACTTGTTGGAGTATTACCCTTTTTCTTAATGTCTGTTTGATAACTGATTGTAGTGTTGTTTATACTTGAACAATAAAATTGTAAATAGAAAGTTTGCAGTTGATAGGGGCAGCTGGCTGGGGTGGGCTGCTCTGAACGGTTGGGTCCATGTTCATGTAGCGTGGCATCTTGAGCTCCGACACTCGTTTATGTGGTTATGTTGACAAGTATGAATTAGTACACACACACACAGGGTTTACAAATAATTTTGTAAACAATCATTGCTGTTTAGTTTAAGTGATTTAAAGTGATTCTTATGTCTTGTTGCCTTTGTCAGTAATTAAATGAAGTTGGAATGTGTTTGTCCAGTATTCGCTAGGCAGCTATATAGTTACATCTTTAATTACAATATAGCCTTGTTAAAGTATGCTATTAAGCCACAGTGGGCTTGGATAAGTAATATGTTAGAATGTGAATATAAACAATATTATATGTGATATTTCTGTTATTTTGGTACATGGTAATATGGCAATGTTTTGTATGAAGTGTATGTATGCATTGGGGATAAGATTGCTATATACTATTAGGCTATATATTTATATATTATTGCTTTACATATTGTACACCACACTGGAACTTGAACAAAACAATCAATGCATTGATATTTTGTGTTTTTTTGTCTGAATAAATAAACCAAATGCAATTTGGGAGAAAACATAGAAAGCTGCTCTGCTTGAGTCTCCTTTTATTTCATCTGTCTTTCAGGATATTTTAAATTTGCTACCACGGTCCTCTACTTGGAACCTGTAACACATGGTTTATTTATATAAATATAGCATTAATAAAATATAAATACTACTAAAAGTTGTAAAAATGTGTAAATAGATTCATTAGTGAGGGATTTATATAAATGTGGTCTAAACTGCTTTATTTGATATGGAGGTTTCCTGTTGGTACAGTGTTATAAGTGAGGACTGACCCTCAGTGCACATTGTTCCCTGCCTGAAAAATGTTCCTGCTCCTCCACTGAATATATGGTAATAAGAAACGCCCTGTCACAGACAGGGAATTTCTGGTTATTTGATCAGCCTGTGTTAACCACCACAACATTTTAATATACAACCAGGTTTAAAACGACTTGATGTTTATAGATCCTGAATATTATCCTCATTATAAACCAGGCTATATCAGCTGTGGTGATAATTAGCAGTTAATTGGTCACAGCTGATTATGATTCTCATACCTTGCCATTGATCCTGAGCACCATTCTTTCCGATGAGAACTAGAGCAGCAGCAGTCACTGTCTGTCATCACCTGTGAGCAACAGACACGTTTATATAATCACATTATATTGCATTATATATCGTTGAAAAGAGCGTATTCTGTTCGGACTCAAAGCACTATTCTAACAACACTAACTGGGCACTCAATGTAAACATTTAGGCACCGACGCACCATTTTGCGCAGCCGCTCGTCGGCTGCAGTTACAGTTCCGTTTTTACCGTTAGTTGTTTAAATCAACAGCCCGCCAACAGAAATCCGATCATGACAAACCTTATTCGAGCGAAACGGTTTGATGAGAGCCCACCGATAAACCGGGCTTACCTTATCATGGTGTTATGCCGTTTGATGTCAACCCTTTGAGAACCCCATTTTTCCTGCGCCACGTGCTGACGTCATCGCCGCCTCCCTTACTGCAGCACGCGACAAGCGCCACAAACTTACCGTTTTTTTTTTTCAAACTTGAAGCATTTTCTTAGTATAGAAGAAAAACTATTCCGAAGTTATCTTTAAAATTAAATACTACTATAATTAACCCTTTGTATACGGAAGAGCATTAGGGACACTGAAAAAAAAAAGTTTAACTTTATTTCAGTTTAATATAGAACTCTGATTTTAATCTCAGAATTCGGACTTTATTCTCAGAATTCAATTCAGTTTATTTATATAGCGCCAATTCACAACACATGTCATCTCAAGGCACTTTACAGATCAACCAGATCATACAGTCAAATTGATTCAAAGTTTTCAATCTAAGGAAAACCAGTTGATTGCATTGACTAAAATGCAATCCCTCACACTAAGCATGCTTGTAGTAACAGTGGAGAGGAAAAAAATCCCTTTAACAGGAAGAAACCTCCAGCAGAACCAGGCTCAGTGTGAGCGGCCATCTGCCGAGGCCCACTGGGGTTCAAGGAGACAGAAGCAGAGATACAAAAAGCAGCTAAAAGGCGGCCCCGTCCAGGAAACACACAGCCGGGCAGACGAGCTCCAAGCCAGCACCCATGCCAGAGGATGAAGAGAGCACATTCAGTCAGTCACGGTCAGAGAAACAGGACTACACTGGAAAACAGGCAGATCTCCAGCATCTATAAACAAGGGTGATGGTGGAAGCAGCACAGCTGATAATTCTCTCCAGGATGGTGTCACAGCCAAACAGGAACAGACGAGGCAAAGCTACTACTAGAAAAAGCAGAGAGAGCATAATGTTAGAGATTGAACTAACAGATTCTGAATAGAGAATCGAGACAGAATGAATTAGAATGATGAAATGGGGGTCCCTTTGTCCTCCAGAATTCTAAACCTATAGCAGCATAACTATAGAGAAAGCTCTGACTTTAATCTCAGATCTCTGACTTTAATCTCAGATCTCTGACTTTTTCTCAGAATTCTGATTTTAATCTCAGATCTCTGACTTTTTCTCAGAATTCTGACTTTAATCTCAGATCTCTGACTTTTTCTCAGAATTCTGACTTTAATCTCAGAATTGTGGATCTTAATGTATATGGTCACCATGAAGGAAGAGTTGTGTGAGCACTCAGCTTCACTGACAAAGATGTGAGTTGTTTGGGAGGGCCAGTAACACATTGGTGGAAAATAACGCAATTAGGCAACTTTTTACGTGCCCGAGGGGTCATCGGTGCTGCTATTTCATTGATGGAAGAGCAGAAGGTGATTAAAACAAGAAAGCTAGTCTCTAAAACAGACATGGCTATGGCTTGATTATAACATGTATGTTAGGTGTCAGAATTCTGAGATTAAAATCGGAATTGTGAGAAAAATTCAGAATTCTGAGATTAAAGTCAGAATTCTGACTTTTTTCTCATATTATACTGAAATAAAATATAAAAATCAGTTAACTTTTTATATTTTTTCAGTGGCCCTAATCCTCTTCTGTATTTTTCCTACCACAATAGCAGATATAATGTATGTTTGGGTTAAAACTGTGAAAGGGCCATATAGAGAACACAAGGTGTTCAAAGAAAAAAATAAAAAAGCAGATACAGTCAGAATAGCATAATCTCAAACTACAGTTCAGTGTAATAATGTGTATTACCAAAATAACAAGCATGAGGATGTAAAACTTAATCAAGCTTTTGAAAAATTGTAATACAGAACCCATGACCATATGTGTAATAAATATTTTACAGCAATAACACTCTCATTATGCCTTTTCCCTGTAAGGGATTATTTGAGATGCTCAAACTGGTATATGAACACAGTATGTAAATTAGAGATCTAGACATGTATCAATGTGTTATAATCATGATATAAAGGGACACAATACTTACGTTTAGTACCTGTAACCATGACCCTATTTATAAATAAAGTGTCCTTGATGTAGCACCAACAAAATTACCAGGTTTCCAAAAGGATTAACAGTATTATTTTACAGTAACTTATAACTGAGATATTCAGTAATATCCCAATGAATACCAGCAAAACTAAAGTCTCCTTGGATTTTGGAGCATATTTTGCACTAAAATTGCACAACAAGGTCTGTAATATTACAGCAGCACAGTAAAAATGCAAGGATTTCTCAGTATTATTACTGTGAAATACTGCATATAGGTATATATAATGGAACTTGACATTACTTGAATGGAAGGCACAGTTTCCCTTGAATGGAGAAGGTAAGCAACATGAATGTTTGCAGCTCTACACTAAAGTTATTTGGGAGTGGCAGTGGTGACCTAGTGGTTAGAGATCACTGTAATTAATCCTTTTTCCTACCACAGTAGCATATATAATGTATGTTTGGGTAAAGACTGTGACAGGGCCATAAAGAGAACACTAGGTGTTCAAAGAAATAAATAAAAAAGCAGATACAGTTGTGTAGCCCGGGCTAAAAAAACAAAAAGAAGAAAAAACATAAACATGCACTGAAATTTTTGAGTACATACATAATTACTGTATATTCTTTGTATGATAAATACAAGTGAAAGTCTTGTATCAGTGTTTTCTGATCGTTTATTTCTAATGTGTAGTCTGGGTGATTAGTTACATTGTAATTTACATTTTAAACTGTTTTTCCATGTGTGTAATTTTGCTTGTCAGACTAAGTTTTTCTACGGACTGAGTACAAGTATAAGAAAGGATAGTCAGTAATCTGAGGGACAAATGAATTCAATGGGGAGTTGTGAAAAAAAAAAAAACGGAGTTGGGGATGATGGGAGGAAGAAGGTGAGAGCGGGAAAGGAGAGAGGAAAGAGGATGCGGATTGAGACCTGAGTTTAGGAGAGCCGGAACAAGGTTGGAGAACGCACTGAAATGTTCCAGGGTCTGCAACAAAAACTAAAATGGTACCTAACTGTGTGAGGGTAAGTGTGTGTGTGTGTGGCCCCACGTGTAGGTTTTGTAGTGTTTCGAGGGGTAATTTTTATGTAAAGGTATGGTGTTGTGATTTTTTGTTCTTTTCTATTCCCAGCCAGCTGGGAATTTATGTTTCTGATACTTTAAGATGTTTATTGCCCTCTCCGGTAGGGGGGGTAAAATATCTTATTTAATCAGATTTTATTTCAGCTGTTATATAGTGTTTATGACACACAGTCCTACTAACTGTGTATTAGAACAATAGATGAAAGAGTGATTCGAGCACTAATCATGGTCAAACAGTTATTTCTGCACATACATGGAATAAATTCACAACAACTTCTGTTCAAAATATAAGAGTTTATTAACAAAAATCATTCAGCTCCAAGTCAAACATATTTCAGTTTAACACTCTCAACTAAGACTAGTAAAACTCAGCTAAACTAAACTAACTACTATGTACAAAGAGGAAGGGGAAAATGGTTGAAAAACATATTACAGTTTAAGATGGATTTTGTTTAAAACCATAGTTTAGCTGGAATAATTTGGGATATGATCAAATTAGCTTTTCACTAATTTTAAAGAAATTGGAATGTTTTCAGACCAATTCACAATGCAAATCCATGAGGTGAATAAAACATTATTTGGCCAGATAATGTTTTATTAAATGATTTGCTTAATCAAGAACCAAAAACCTTTAGTTAAATGATTCTTTACCCTCTTTGAAATAGCTAGCAGCGAATAGACATCAGGATTCCATTAAATGACTCTTGGTCATACTTGGTAATGGAAATGTAACAAGCATTTGAGGAACACATGAACACTAATGTTATATCAGTGTTTATATCCTTAGTGAATAAAGCTTGTCTAAGCTTTAGCAACAGCTCAACACATATTCCTGTAGCATAGCGTAGCATGCAGTCCATTCTTTGGCATCAATTAGCGTTGTCTTTACTCAGCAGTAAACAGACAATTTAATTAGCATCATCAAAAGACATATTGCTTGTTCGGTCCCTAATCATGCCAGACCTGCAAACCTTTTTCCATGTCCATTTGGAAAGCTTGAGTTTCATCCAGTTTTGCAGCTCTGCAGTCAGGGCACAGCAGGAGTTCTTTGTCTCAGTGGCACACAGCATGGGTCCTCTTTGTCTTTGTCGTTCATCAAGACAGGCTAGGCCTTCTCTCCAGTCTGGCTCTGTAAGTTCTGAAACTCAAGAGAAATGTGTTGCAAAAGGTCTGTTTGCAGCAGTTTGGTTCTGAAAGGTTCTGACTTATCTTTGATGGTTCAGGGGGTCTGGTTCCCCTGGGGCCCGCATCTCCACTACGGCGGACCCCATCTCCCTGGGCAAGGGAGAGGAGGCAAGGAGAGCATGAGCCAAAGAGTGAGGAGGCAAAAGAAAAGAGAGGCTGGAGCAGAAGAGAGAGAATCCTGTGTGCTCTCTGGTTTTCTCTGTCCTCACAGAGAGGGGGGGGTTTTCACACCTCACACCTCTGGCGGCTTCCATGTGACTGGCCTGTGACTGCTTTGGCTGTAAAGGGGAGCTGCAGAAGTCCCCCAGCTGTTATTCACCAAAGCTGCTTGTTCTCCTATGGTCATCCTATCAAGATGAAATATAGACAGTCGTTCCCAATGTCCAAAAAGTTTGATCATGGCATATGGCACAACATATGGGGTTCTGTTTATGCAAAAAAAAAAACTGGGATTCTAGTTTTGCAAAAAATGTTGATCTAGTTGTTGAGTTTATTTGTGAGATATTTAAGTTTTGGTACGAGTCTTTATAGTTATTGTATTTTATTGTTGTTGTCCCATCTGTTGTCCCATCTGACTCTGAACCTGCCTTAAAGCTCTTTGGATTCCTGGAACCCCGTTTCTGTTTGTTCCTGTGTGGATCTAAACCCTTTGTCGAGCTGAAGACTCCTGGATCTCAGAACTGTCAGCTCTCTGTTTTTGCTGTTCTGATTGGGGACACCCTG